GGTTAATTGCCTCAAGATTATTGAAAATGACACTAGTAAACAATGTTACAAAACAGAATGCAAATTTGACGTTGGAAACATCTTAGTGATATTTGCATTAATACATTTGCAAAGTTGTATCTGTGTGTGTCTTTTGGTTGTCTCGGCAGAATTCAGGTATTGTTGTACAATGTTTCTTTGGCAACCCGATCGCTGCAATCAAATGGATAAACATAGCAGTAAACAAATGAGTTAACAACTCTCTAGAATGACTGTTTTCCTGGCATGTTTATACATACCAAGATGTGAGGTCAGACACAAACATCTATAAGCACTTTCACAGGTCCCGAACAACAGCAACAAATGAATAAAGAGAAGAACAATGGTCAGAATCAAAGATAAAGTAAAGCAGGTGAATGTAAAATATGGAAGAGGTCTGTTGTCTTCTCCCTGCTGTAAAAAATAACGCGTGAGTCAATTGATCCCAATCCGACTCACAAGTTCCAGTAAAGAAAGGATGCGGGAATAAAGAAAAATGGTTACGTCACAAGAAAGTATGAGCCTAAAGTATGGGCCTAAAGTATGAGCCTAAAGTATGGGCTTAAAGTATGAGCCTAAAGTATGAGCCTAAAGTATGGGCTTAAAGTATGAGCCTAAAGTATGGGCCTAAAGTATGAGCCTAAAGTATGGGCCTAAAGTATGGGCCTAAAGTATGAGCTTAAAATATGAGCCTAAAGTATGGGCCTAAAGTATGAGCCTAAAGTATGGGCCTAAAGTATGAGCCTAAAGTATGGGCCTAAAGTATGGGCCTAAAGTATGAGCCTAAAGTATGGGCCTAAAGTATGGGCCTAAAGTATGAGCCTAGCACTCGTTGTGTCGTTGTGTCCTGCTGGATTTTGCTAAATGTGAACCGTAAAGAGTTGGTTGAGCATGTTAAGCCGGTGCATTATTTATGATCTAGGTCTAAAAAAGATGAACACAGATCAGCGTACATGCACCAGAAATACATCCGTGGGTACATTGCCGCTAAAGGCTAAGGTGACTTCCCATGTTCAACCATATTCATTCAGACTTACAGGCTGATTATGCAGATTCATAACATGACATCCAACACATTATAGTGTGAGTGTTTGTCATTATGCAGAAAGCTTGAAAGCTTAAGTAGCAGAAGCAGTTTCTCATGGTGAGGTCACAGTTCAAATTTAAGATTCTGGTCCTCTCTAGAAATAATTTGTTCTAGGAGTAATTCTGGTTTAGCCTGTGAGCTGTCGACATTTATCCATTCAGCTCAAATAACAAACACAGGTGTCACACTTTGCAAGCAGACTTTGGGTGGAAGGCAAATTGATAGTTTAGCAAAGCATACAGGGGGAAAAGTATTGTTTATGACTTTCTGTGTTGTTAACAACAGCATGCAGAATTATGATCCATCCTGACTGATAAATACACACACACATATACATGCAAACTGTGATTAGTCCTATGAATGCTACTGCAGGTCTACGCTGCAGACTCAGAGCCAGATTAAGGAAGGGTTGGGCGAGGAACATTTGAAACGTGACAAAGGAGCAGCGCTCTTCTGACAGAGCAAGAATGTTAATTCCCCCCCCCCCCCTCCCCCCCACACGAGTAGCAAATTCCTGTTTAATTCTGAGAAACAGAAAACTAAAGGCGAGGATAAGTGAAGCAGTAAACTCAGTTTCAAAGCCGTAGATCACAAAAAATACTTTTGACCTGACCCTCAACCAGTTAAAGCTACAACGTCTAATTCCGACCAAACAGTAACCCTTTCCATTACGATACAAACCACAGAATTGGAACATTGAAATAACTCCAGACAGATTCTTGAAAAAATATATATTCAGCTAAATAATTAAATCATATTTGCAACCTGTAACTGCATAATAGTACTTTCACGCAACCATTAAAATACATCAAATTGGAAACAGAATGCAAAAAATTATGCATGATTTAGCAACTAGAACATGGTTTTCAACCTACTGAAGGAAGCATAACTGTAGGAATTTCTACAAGAACATTTGAAAACCTGCTCTGTGGCTCCGTAAGGAACAACTGATGCATATCTCATTTTGTTGTAGTAGTGGGACCAATTCTAGCAAAGTAGCGGGGCATTAAATAGATCCTCTCACACGCCAACAGAAAGCCTTTCCACAGATAATCACAGATGTTTCTGATCAAAGCATCTAAAGGTAACTGAGTGCAGGGTATAAACGAAAGGTCAGTGTACTAAAGATATAGATAGGTATTGAGGCCCGGTCCAAATAACCAGTAGGTTTCCTGCTTGTTTGTTTGATTCCAAGCGGTCCTGTCATAGCATTTTTTGGATTATACTATAATTAACTTGCTCTTTCTGGAAGTATTTCAACTGCTAAGTTATTTTTTAAAATCTGTGAGGATGACAACCGAAAATTACATCTCTGACAGGGTCAGAAATATTGTGAGCTTCTGGAACCTGCGTGTCTCACAATAGCCTTGGCATGACCTTTAATGGCAAAGGGTCAACAGACTCATAGCAAACAGCTGTTACCATGTTTGACTAATGTCACACTGTTTTAAAGTACTGTTAAGTCTGCAACCTGAGTCACAGTGTGCGCCGTAGTGAAGTGACACAACCGAATTCCAGGAACTAAATAGCTCTAAAATTCACCCAGTGGAACACAAAGAGACTCACACATGTAAAAACCAAGACCGACTATATCTGCTTTTATTCCAAACATAAACATATTTGGCTGGTTTTTTGATAATTGAGCGTCATCAACAGGCATCGCATTGGTTTAGGACTCCATGCTGCCAATTTGACACGTGACTACAACAATGAAGAATGAAGCAAATTGTCCAATGCTGGTGTGGATTCTTTCATGAAACTCTACGAAATCAGATTTTATATCATCAATTAAATGGTTACCTTGCAAACACATACTGTAAATGTGTGGAATTGGCCAATTACACAGTAATTCCAGAAGAAATGGTGGATTGAGTGTTTGCAGAAGAAACCTGGAGTGGTTGACTGAACAGTTTAAAAACTAAATTGTTGCTGGAATTTTCTGCTACATTGTTAAAACAAGGTTATTTACAGTAAAGAAAAAACTGGTTCATACAATCCCATTGAAAACTTACTATTTTTTATCTTTAATCATGCTTTACATGAAGGAAAGAAACAAAAGACCATTTGATATCCTGATTTATTAGGAGAGAATTCCACATGTCAGGATAAACACGTCAAGGATGTTGGAAGAAGGTCACATGTAAAGCGATATTTTTTCCAAACCACACTATTCCTGTCATTCACCTCCCACAGAGGTGGGCCCCCAGTCATAAGCGAGTGTGAGGAGCTGAGGCCAATGCTGTATGTGTCTACAGATTCCTCTGAGCCTACCAGCTAGCTGTGACTTTTAACAGCCGGCCTGTTCCTCCAGGCTCCCTTTAGACAACACTGAGCGCCGAGAAGAAGAGAGACATCCCGTTCATCATGTCAAACTATCAAACACCATGCTGCCATATGAAAGAAAATTTAAAAAAAACTTTAAGGTAGCTGTAAGAATCGCACAACTGCCTTTGTATGGTCCAACGTCTGGAGTCAATTTAACCCAAAGTTTCATTGGCAAGAAAAACAATGAACCAGATTCAACATTGTGATCAGCAGAATCACAAACAAACAATGTATTTTGTTGAAGCTACACACACACACACACACACACACACACACAAACCTGCTCCAAGCCACACAGCCCACCATCTCAGCCTCTTGCCAATTTGACATCTCTAAGAGGTTTAACTGCTCAGTTTTCATGAGGACTTGTATGAACCCTAACCCATGAGCCGTCGTCAATTAGCAGTACCAATCCACTTTGATTGGGATTTAGAAGGAAGCATTACTCCCTTTAGAATTTCATTAAGTCTTGCTTGCATTAAGATGATCTTGTCGAGGAGAATAAAGAACCCCTAACACCAGCGTTCATGAAAGCTGCTAACTCAATTGTGTGTGGGAAAATCGACAACAAGAGAATTAACAATCCTTTATCAACGTAAGTTAAGAGTAACACATTCACTAGAATGTTGTTGTACCTCCTGCTTTCTGGGTGAGAGAATTACGCACCGAGGCCGAAACCTGACCTCGGTATCAGTGAGGAAGAGAAGAGAGAGGGTGTTGTTGTCCACATGTGTTGGTGTGTCATCCAGATGTTCAAGTGAACAAGCCTGTGACCTGAAAAAAATGAAAGGGAAAGTGATGAAAGGGAACTATGTAAACCCCATTCTAAACAGGTCCACCAGCATGTATGTGTGTGTGTGTGTGTGTATGTCTGTGAATGCATGCATAAGTGTCCAAATGTGTCCAAATGTTTGTTGAGTTTTGGTGTGGATGCAGGATGTGGTGAACCAACAGCTTTGTGAGAATGAATTTAGTGTTACGAAGCTAGAACACACATTGTATGATTTATAGACAGTTTGAGCTTTTCCATGAACCCATGACGTAATTACATAACTGCACATGCCACTAGCAGCAGCGTGCAAATGAAAAGTGTTGGGCTTCAGATAGGTGGATTCAAAGGGATCTGAATTTACTGATTTCCATTGACGGTGTTCCGGCAAGTTTAGTTTATTTTTTATTTTTTTAGCTTTTTATCAACACACAAACAAAAACGGGATTCGAGTGGTCCATTTTGTGGGAAAGTCAAAAGAAAAATTTTTAATGAGCTAATCTGTTGCACATGTCCTTGACCATGACTGAATGTTGCTTTCATCTTACACAAACACCACCTTGTAGCACTTATATAATCGTCTATTATTATTATTATTATGACTAGAGATAATATCAAGAATACATTATCTTCCTCTAAGATTTGCTTCTGTGCAAAACTATTTGGTGAGCTAGTTTTAAAACTTTTACTACTCATATACAAATCAAATATAATTGCAATTGGGGTTGGACTTTTTAATGATGTTCAAATGGTATTTCTACCAGACCACTTACCTATAAGCCTTTCACGGTTGCAGTTACTCTATGAGTACATGAGAGCAGATGAGGGGGGGAGGAGACCCAAGTGCGCGCTGCACTGCAGACGCTCACAGTTGACTCTGCGCTCCGGACACGCTGGACCGGTCTGAGGAATCGAACTGAACAGCTATTGGAACTGAATGTGGACCTTCTACAGTTCTCTCCACATTCTGACACTCTTACAAGTGCTGTGGTTGTCTACAGATGTTCAAGAGCAATGAAGCAACTTGTAGGTATATTTCTTTTCTTCCTTTGCACCTTGAGTAAAATACGCTACTTATTGTTTTTCATAGCCTAGAGAGAATATTTCACATCTTGTAATACATTGTTTAATTAATTCTAAACTTCGTGTGCTCTGTCGATTTATTCCATATAAATGGTTATTTCTGTACAAAAAACCGTTGAGGGACAAGATGTTTGTTATAAAAAGACTTTGCACGTATGTCGCCTTTACCAATAATCCCTCCCGTCCATCCATCTCTCTTTCTATCACTGCATTCCCATTTAGACGAAGTAAGTCATTTAGATTGCGCTAATTCTGCGCGTCTCTTCCCAGGTGGGTTTCATTAACGCTTCCGAACCAAATCCAAACGTCATCCCCCGTGCCCGCGCAGCCGGAGCCCCATCCGCGTGCACGATGAGCACGTGCGGCCAGCGCAGTTGGCTTCTGTTGTTGTTGTTGTTGTTGTCGGCGGCCGCCGTGCTGCCGACGAGCGGCGACTGCCCCAAATCCTGCGTCTGTAACGGTCCCTCTGAGGTGCACTGCACCTTCAGATACCTGAGCGCCATTCCTGACCACATCCGGCCAGCTGTGGAACGAGTTAACCTGGGGTGAGCTCCCCTCGCCTTCAACTCTGTTTACCTTAAAGGAGGATTGTGTTGGTTCATTTAAAACACTGACTGTGAAAGCAGAGACAGTGATTAATATGAGCTCTTGTCACATATTCAGTTTAACGTAACTAAGCTGTCTTCCATCTGTGGTAAATAAGTAGCTAACTGTCCAAATAGACATAACGACCAATAGATAGCATTCATAGAATGTGCTTAACTGAGGTTTCACAAAAGAATATCATCTGCTAAGGCTGAAAAGCTTGAAGTAGTTCATCGATGACATCGATTGTGTAGCTCTATCATTGATGATGAGAGCACATGTGTAATCTGGGAGAGTAACTGTGTGGGAATACAGGTAATTAAATGTCCTTTAAATCAAATAATTTTTCATAAATTGATGTCTATTTTTGTTGCTCTGCTTATAGGTACAACAGCATAACTGCCTTGAGAGAAAATGATCTTTCAGGACTGGAGAACTTGGAGCTGTTGATGCTGCATAGCAACACCATCCACACTATTGACGACAACGCCTTCCAAGACCTCAAGTCCTTACAGGTAAAATCATGTGTTTATCCGTCCTTTATAGACTACAGCTTTTCTTGTAATGTTGGAATACACAAGTTTGCTGTGCTGTAATATCAGAAGTATGTAGTAGTGTATGTAAAATCAACATATTCTTGAAATAACTAAACAATCCACCAATTGGACAAAAAATGAGACGGTATAACATGAGCATCAAAAGCTGAAAACTAACATTCAAATTTGGAGCTATATGAACGTCACTGTCTTTTATTTAAAGGATGCTGGCAATAACTGTTTGCTTAAACTTTTCCGTACTGAATAAAACATTTTGTTATGTTAGTAAGTTATTTTCTCTGTCAACATTTCATTGTATAAATAATGTGCAAGGTGTCATAATAATAAAAAATAAATAATATTTTATGAAAAGTTCACAGCCCTTTCAAAACATCTCATCATGTTCTCATATTCTCATAGGTCCTGAAGTTGTCCTTTAATAAAGTAAAGGAAATTAAGAAAGATACATTCAAAGGCCTGCACAGTCTGCTCAGACTGCACATAGACCATAACCACATTGAGTTCATCAGCCCGGAGGCTTTCTACGGCCTGACCCAACTACAGCTGGTCCACCTAGAGGGTAACCACCTCCAGCAGCTCCACCCAGACACATTCATCACACTGAGACACAGCCAGGTGTTCAAGGTGTCCTCCGTGAGAACCATCCATCTGTCGGAAAACCTTCTGACTGCTCTGCCCGAAGATATCTTCTCAGGCTGCAGCCAGTTGGAGAACCTCTTCCTCCATAGCAACCCATGGACGTGTGATTGTCGTATGGAGTGGTTCTCTGTGTGGGCACAGAGGAACACAGGTGAGGGTTTTCTTAATGCAAACATTTGTGTCTACCCAGTGGTGTAGTCTACGTCAGGGGTCTTCAACGTTTTTCAGGCCAAGGTCCCCCAAACTGATGGCGAGATGGAGCAGGGACCCCCTATTGTACGGAGTTTGGTCCGCCATCTTTTATTTTTGAGGTTTGTAAGCATAAACGCAATCTGATTGGCTAGTGCCTGTGCTTGGATAGTGATATGCACTAGGAAAAGTCAAGGATTCCCGTATACCCACTATGTATGCGCGGTCTACCGCAGGAGATGACTAAAACTATAGCGGTCCTCGGTAACTAACGGACGCCCCCCCCACATCCCCCTCAGCCGGCAGCCACAGTATACTCACTAATATAGACTACACCACTGTGTCTAGCCACATGCAAATACGCTTTGTGAAGCTACAGATTTTAGCAGCTTTAAAAAGCCACATCTGCTAAGTGGTTTGTAACTGAAATAATACATTATTGTTCTTAAACTAGAAAACTTTTTGTCCTGTGAGGTAATAGCGCTTGGACTTGTATCCAAAGCAACAAAGGCACATTCAAGGAGGAAAACTATTCACTATTCATATCACTAGAAGCCGGAGTCTTATCATCCTGCGGGCTGGAGAAAACAATAAAGACACAGAGGGACATAGTTATATCCTCCATTCATGACTTATGACTTGGCTTATGTAAAAGTAAACTCATAAAGTGCAGGTCTGGATGATGGCGATTTTTTTCCTCCATCACTGATCAGTTTTTAGTTTGGCTTGCCCATAATGTGGAAACTGTAAATGCTCTTTTCTGACATGCAACCGACTAAATGCAACACCACTTGGTTTAAATGTTTCCAGGTGTGCTGAAATGCAAGCGAGACCGGAGATATCCGAGAGGCCAGCTGTGTCCTGTTTGTGAAAATCCTGCCCCTTACCACAAGAAACCTCTATTCCTTCTCACCTCTGATGCCTTCACTTGTATCAAACCCCAGATCCATCCTTATCTAAAGCAGAGAAACATCACCTTGGATGAGGGGGACTTTACTCCAGTTTCACCCAAGGACTTCATGGCCCCACTGGGATCCATACAAATGAACCTGACTGACCATTTTCACAATGATGCTAGTCTATCCTGCACTGTCCACAGGCCCACTACTTTTGAAAACCAAACACAAACACTGGAGGAGGAGGCGGGAAACAATGTCACTGTGCTTACCGCTGACATCAAGACATATTTGGTGTGTAACATTGAATATGAGCACATTCAGCAGCTGTGGCAGATACTGGCCACTTACAGTGACTCTCCCATGACACTTGAGAGAGGCTTAATGCTGGCTAGAAGCCCAGAAATGGTGTACAGGTATAGACAAAAGAAACGAAAAGAGGGTGAGGAAGGAATTCACACAAACATTCAGGCTGAGATTAAATCCTCCCCTGAATGGTTGATGCAGGGAGAAGTGAGCTTCCAGCTTGACCGCACTACTACCACGTTCTCTACTCTGCACATTAAGTACCAGTCTGCAGTCAACCTACGTGTGGAAAATACATCTCCTAAGAGGGGCCGCTATTCCTGGACCATGATCAAGCGAGATAATCAAACAAAGACTGAGCACACCGTACTTACAGGTGGGAGTTACAATAGATCAATGCTTGACATTTACATCGGTCTACATGTACCTATTATTAAACAATTACCTGATGCATTTATTTTATTTTCAAAATAGGTGGTGTGCTGCAATTGGACTGTCAAATCCAGGGTGAGCCAAAACCTTTGTTGGAGTGGATCTTACCAGATGGAAGTAAGGTTAGAGCTCCCTACTCAAGTGAGGACAGGAGGCTAATAATCACTACTGAAGGGAAGCTCACTTTACGGGGTGCAGATGCTTCAGAAACTGGTCTCTACAGGTGCATCGCCACAAACTACCTGGACGCTGATATCCTTGCCTTTCGGGTGTCAGTCCTGTCACCTGATGTGGAAGAAGCTATGGTCAACGGCGTCCAACTCTCTCAGCCGCTGGGGGGAAATCTGTTTTTTGACTGTAGCTCCACTGGAAGTCCTGAGGCTTCAACGCAGTGGGTACTCCCCGACCACTCAGTACTGGACAAGTCTCAAGGGAACAGGAAAGTGTTTGAGAATGGAACCTTGCTGATTCATGGCCTCACAGCAAGGGACAGGGGATTTTATATGTGTTTGGTCTCTAATTACCTCGGAGTTGACCTGCTTGTGTCTCAAGTGACAGTGACTGGAGAAACATCAAAGGGGACAGTTTTGGACAGTGAGGGATCAGGGGTAGAAATGGAGGATACGTTTGATCCCAGCTTGAAGGAAAGCACAATGACCCTCAATGAGATCCACTCTTCCACTCCCTCTGACAGAACTAGTCAGGAATCTAAGACCCTTACCTCAGATCGACCATACCCTAGACTCAGGTCACGGGGTAGAGAAGGTGTTGGAGGTAGACCTGGACAGAGAAGTCGGGGGCTAATCACCAAAAGACGCATGTGGAATAGTAGGGTGTTTGATAAAGCTTCCAGAAAAGTAGACCCAGTGCAGTTTGCTGAATTTATTAAAAAAGTTGGATCAAGAATAAACCCTAACAAAGTGGAAGAGGGGGTAAAATATGAAGACTCAAACACTGGTCATTCTGGTGATAGTGAAATGGGCTCTGGTGAAGATACTCAAGAAGATCCTCACAACGTTTTGCCCATTATAGTTGGACCAACAATAAACAATCCACAAAAAGGTAGACTACATGGGCAAGAGAACAGCCAGACAGAAACTACCACACAGATAGATCATGGTACTAACATAGAAGCGATGGGGGCACATCAAACTGTTGGCTTGGAAACCACAATCAGTAATAATTTAAAATTAAGTCATGTCACAGAAAACACAAATAGACCTACAGCAGAGTCATATATGGAGTCAGATTATACACCCGTCAAGCCCACATTCACACATCATCCAACAGAAAAGAAGGACAGTCAACGTGATGCAGTAACAGCTTACCATACCATTTCACGCAATACAGGCCTCTCTAGTTTTGATGAGACAAGTGATTTGTATGCCCTGGAAAGAACTACCAAGCCGGGCTCAAACAGACGCCCAGACACTCTACAACTTACTTTGTCAGACACATTACAAGAAACTCAGCTCCAATTTTCAGGAGAACAACCTGGAGAGCCAGAGACGTCCACTGGGGTGGCACTATCATTTCAAACAGACCCATATGTCACTCCAATGAGTGATAGCGCAAGCCCAGGGGCACTGGTTATTCACACATCCACTGACCCAGAAAGCCAGACGACATTCACCGCCTTCACCACTACAGAGAGGCAACACAATGAAATAACCTTCCACACTACCCAAACAATCAAATCCCCACGTCTACCTGCAGGATCGACCATCATCACCCAGCAGCAGATCCATATTATACCGCAAAAGAACAGCAAAGGAGCGGGGCGCAGAAGAACCTTCCAAGGCCGCAGGAGAATCATTAAACCCAACAGGATTAGTGACATACAGTCTATCATCGCTAAACTTAAAAATCCCTCGTCGAAAAAGGAAGGGAATGCTACGGTGCCTTATAGAATTGAACTGACCACAGGTAAGCCAGTTTCAAAAATAGAGATATTAATTTTGTTGAATGCTTTGTGAGTGTGTGCTTTTTCTTCATCTGTTCTTCCTCTTCATTGCGTTCTATGTTTTCCCATCAGACTGTGACTGGAATAAAGACAAAAAGAAGAAAGCTACCAATGATCTGCAGCTAACAACACCAACAGTTTCCTCAAGTTCAACTTTACACATAACAGAGAGACTTGTCCCAACGCAAAAAACTGCAACTTCTACCACAACGCATTATATCACTTCGAATGACCCCTTCACCCATACCGAGTCATGGCAAGAGGCTTCCAGTGGCTACATAACCTCTGCTGATGCACCTGAGTTTGACCCTACAATTGATCCACCTTTGACAAGAAATAAAGAACCATCAACCACCACACCCACGGCTACAACTGTCTCTATGGTTATTAATGGGAGAATTCCATGGAACAGGCCGGTTGGTGGTAGAGAGAGAGAAAATACACTTGGCAGGTTTACCCAAAAAACCTCAACTACAGCTGAGACAACAACAATGACCCTAACTTCCACCACGGCAGCCATGCCCCCCACCACAGCAAACTCACTTCCTGAGCCTGAGACTCTGTCTCCATCCAGACCCAGAGGGAACAAAGAGGGTTCATTAGATGATGACTATGGATATTTCCTCTCTGCAGATTTTGAGTTCACAACATTGCCACCCAGCTTTCCCCATTTAAGTACAACTAGCCCATCCTTCTACTCCAAGCCTGCTATAACACAACCAAATTCACAAACTCTACCTTCCCCAACTACTGTCAAACCACCCTCAACTGAAAATCCAGATGCAGTATTGCCATCTGGGTCTGGAGGACTACCTGATTATTGGTTTGTAACCAGACAGAGGCCTGATGGGTCGAGAGGACGTCAAGGACAGAGAAGGAGGCCCTTCAGGGGCAGAAAGCCCTTCAAAAAACCTGGAATTACTAAATCACGCCCTTCTACCACAACTGAGGTTTCTACCACAGCTATGGAAACTACAATGATGTCTACCACACTATCACAAAGGACTGTTTCAGTCTACCAGCCCCTTTACACACCATCCAGGCAAGAACACAGGACTCCTGTTGTTGTTACCTCAAAGGAGTACGCTGACCTATATGAGGAATTTGACTGGAGCACATCTGGTGAATTACAGGCCTATACCACAACCAGGATACCTTTGATCTCATCAACCACACACAACCCAACCACCTCATTCATACCAATCACTACAAAGAGGCCTTACACAACAGCTCGGACCAAAGTCCACAGCAACGTCAGACCACCAACACAGAGGAACAGCGATCACACCACTGGTGGGCCAATTGATACTGTGAACATTGTCACAGCTGTGCAGGGACACAACAACATAGGCACACGCAATGCTATCTCTAGCGTCTATATTCATGTGGCTGGCAATGAAGCTACAACTGCCAATATTGCTGGCTTTGAACCCACTACAAAGGTCGAAACAAGTAGACCAAAGATACTTGGGGGCAACGCCGCCAGCTTCACTGTGTTATCCAATTCAGATGCTTTCCTGCCGTGTGAAGCTGTTGGAAACCCCCAGCCAGCCATAACCTGGAAGCGCTTCCCCTCAACCACAGGTACAATACAAATTTCATTAATTTCCATCGTTTAGAGAAAGAAAACCGAAACAACCCCAAAATCATGCAAAAAAAAATATTTAATTAAAAAAATAAAGGGATTAAAATAAATTTCAGGGAGGCAATTGTTATATTTTTTCAGATTTTTCAATTTGATAAAAAACTTGTGAAAATATTAAAACACTGTATGTTGTTAATTGCATGTCTTATTATTAACTTGTTTTGTTCATTATGTTTTTATATGGTATTTTAATACCAAAAACGGAAAGGTGCTCTTAGAGTTCAGGTCTGTCCGCAGGGTGTTACGCATCGGCCGCTGCTGTATTGTGTGATCAAATGAATGCGAACAAAAATTGGCCAGCCCCCTGTCCCGGGACTAATATATTTCGGCTTTAATTTCAGGCTTAAAATTAAAGATATCTGCAAGCTGTTTTCTCTCTCTCTGTGCCTCCGGTAGTGGCTGAGAAGGAACTCTGCGCTGTGTGTGCTAGTATTTCTGTAACATAACATAATTCTCTAACATAACATGGGTAAATATTAAAATGTGGACTGGTCGGGAAAAATTAAGGATGGTGGGTCAGGGGTCAGCGGGTTGTCAATAACTGGATAATACAGGCAATAAAAGGTGTTTTTAGAAAGTGCGAGTCACCGCAACCCTGAGAGGTCATTGAGTGTGCAGCCATAACTAGCCACCCATGCAGTTTACTACAGTGGAATGTAAGGTTAGCTGTAGACAGAGACAGAGGTGCACACTCATTCATTGGCTTACACAGTTATACACACATATGCCTTGTCTTGATCCTCCTGGCATAATGGATGAGAAAACAACATAGATAATGTAAAATACATATCTAAATATCAAAGTTGGTATTAGGAAGAAACACGTTGTTTTGAACCTATATTTGATTGTTTTATGTTGTTTTAAACTGTTTTTTGAGCAAATACATTCCATTTCTGTGTCCCTTAGGTGCCGCTGTTACCGTTAAGGGAAGGTTGGGGAAGTTTGAGGTGATGACCAATGGTACGCTGTTTATCCAGAATGCCAACATTAAGGACCGTGGGCAATACCTCTGTCTGGCTGAGAATGATCATGGATCAGATAAACTTATTGTCACCCTCTCTGTGGTGGCCTACCCCTCACGCATCCTGGAGCCAAAAATGCGTGAAATGAAGTTTCATGCAGGAAACAAAGTGGAGATGACATGTAAAGCAGAGGGTCGTCCAACACCAATGGTATCCTGGATCCTGGCCAATCGGACCCAGGTCAGGGGTCAAAACACAGAGATTGGAAGGGTTTCAGTATCTGCTGATGGGACTCTGGTCATTGAACGGGTGTCTGTTTATGACAGAGGTCATTACAAATGCATTGCCAGTAATCCAGCTGGATCCGATACTGCTACAGTCCGACTGCAGGTGGTTGCAGCTCCCCCAGGTATTGTGGAGGAAAAACGGCAGCAGGTCAAAGTGGGTGTCAGACAAAACCTGTGGCTACCTTGCACTGGGCAAGGCAGTCCTCAGCCTACTATTCATTGGGTCCTCCTTGATGGATCAATAATACAATTTAAAAGACCTGCCAGCGACACAAGGATGTCAGTATATGGGAATGGAACCCTCCACATTAAGGATGTGACTCCAGAAGACAGCGGCAAATATGAATGTATTGCCACTAGTTCGACTGGCTCAGAGAGAATGGTTGTGACTCTGTCAGTCGAGAGGAAAGAGTCGGCACCTCAAATAATGGAGATGTCTAAACGCATAACATCGTTGTACTTTGAGGACCAGCTTAGACTAAACTGTTCAGCTACAGGAGACCCCAAGCCCAAGATCATCTGGAGGCTGCCTTCTAAAGCTGTCGTGGACCAGTCGCACAGGTAAAAATGCCTCAAAATAATGCAGAAATGCAGCCCTGGCAGCGGAAATAAATCCCTGAGCGGGCATTTTATTTCCATGGGCTGGCCCAATGTAAACATTAGACATGGCTGTAATGTTGGCTGAGCAGTAAAATCTTCTTCTACAAGGGGTCTGGGAGAATACGAATATGAATTATTTTGATAAACAAGATTTATTTTAATGCAGTAATATGAAAATGATCTTGCCACCAGAAGATTATATTTGTCCGTGTTGTGCACTAAATCAATTTGTGCTTACTTATTTTGTTTTTTCTGTCCTATCCAAATTGTAAGTCTCTCTGATGTTCTGTCATGTATCTTTGCAGGATGGGCAGCAGAATTCAGGTGCTGAAAAACGGCACTCTTATTGTTAGCATTATGAGTGATAAAGATGCTGGCGACTACCTCTGTGTGGCACGAAATAAAATTGGTGATGATCTCCAAATCATGAAGGTCAGTGTGTCAATGAAGCCAGCCAAGATAGAGCCGAAGCTCTATGGAAAGAAGCAGGTACCCTACGGTAAAGACTTTAAAGTTGACTGTAAAGCGTCAGGAGCACCAAAGCCAGAGATCTCCTGGGGATTACCAGACGGAACAGTGGTCAACAGTGCTCTTCAGTCTGATGGCAGCAGTGGGGGAGGACGAGTACGGCGCTATACGCTTTTTGACAATGGAACTCTTCACATAAACCAAGTATGCAATGGAATGTGATCTTTCTTAATGGACCATAGATAACATTGTCAAAAGTTGCACATGACTGTGTTGTGCTTCTCTAGGTTGGTATGTCAGAGGAAGGAGACTACACCTGCTATGCTGAGAACCAGGTGGGCAAGGATGAGATGCATTTTCACATCACTGTGGTGACAGCTCCCGCTAGGATACGTCCAACCAGCCAGACGTACGCGAGGGTCAAGCCTGGAGGGAACATCCGCTTTGACTGTGAAGCAATTGGGGAGCCCAAACCAAAGATCCTGTGGATGCTGCCCTCCAATGATGTCATTGCAGCATCAAATGAACGGTACCTAATGCACGTCAATGGCTCCCTGGATATCCGGGACGTGAAGCTTATAGATGCTGGGGAGTATGTTTGTATGGCTCGAAACACTGCTGGAGAAAACAGAAAAGTCTATAAGCTTGATATAGAAGGGAATCCACCAGTGATCAATGGATACCGTCAGAACAGGACTGTAATCAAAGATGTAGCTGCTAAGTACTCCAGGAAATTTATAGACTGTAAGGCTGAGGGCAATCCCACACCCAGTATCACTTGGATTATGCCTGATAACATCTTTCTGACGGCACCGTACTTTGGCAGCAGGATCAATGTCCACCATAACGGGACGCTTGAGATTCGTAACGTACGGCCGACTGATACAGCTGAGTTCATCTGCATGGCGAGGAATGATGGAGGAGAAGCAGTAATGGTTGTGCAGCTGGAGGTGAGCAGTATGCTCAGGAGGCCGATCTTTAAAAACCCCTTCAACGAACGTATTGTTTCTCGGATAGGAAAAACCACCGTTCTGAACTGCTCTGCTGATGGATACCCAATGCCAGAGGTCACATGGACCTTGCCTAATAGAACACGAATTACTGGTGGCCATCACCTAGTTAGAAATGGATCTTTAGTCATCTATAACTCCAGTAAGGAGGATGCTGGGAAGTACCGCTGTGGTGCGAAGAATTTCATGGGTTATATAGAGAAGCTAATCATTTTAGATATTGGTCAGATGCCTTACATCCTGACAAGGCCTAGGGGTATTATTCGCAGTGTATCTGGAGAACCTCTTTTCCTTCACTGTTTATCTGATGGGAGTCCTACACCCAAAATCCACTGGACTCTGCCAGGTGGCCACACTCTGACTCGGCCTCAAGTCCTTGGACGCTACCAGTTACTAGAGAATGGTACTTTGGTTGTTCAAGAAACAACTCTCCACGACAGAGGGAACTACGTTTGCAGGGCTCTGAGCGATGCCGGAGAGGCCCTGCTCACCGTCCCTGTTATTATTATTGCCTACCCTCCACGGATCACGTTAGGACCACCTACCAGTGTAAGGGCACTGACAGGGACACCTATCCGGCTCAACTGTGCCGCCATTGGGATACCCAAACCTGAGATCACCTGGGAGTTGCCCGATCATTCAGTTCTGTCTGCAGCCGAACGGGGCCGACCCATGGGTAGTGAACTGCTCCACCCTCAAGGTACTCTCATCATCCAGAGGCCCAAAGCATCAGACTCTGGCACATACAAGTGCCTGGCCAAGAACAACCTGGGTATGGACTCAAAGATTACATATGTATATGTATTATGAGAAAAAGCAAAGACTGAGAGAAGAAGGTGGCATATCCTGATATATATATATAAACATTAACAGACACTCAGTCACTTGCTGTACGTTTATGAGGTACAGTACATGTTTTTTTCACACTTGTGAGGATCCCGGCTTGTGGAATATTTTTTCCTAAAGTGACAAACATGATAAACATGTGGATTTTATAAAAAACAAAGTACAAGAAGAGAAAGGAAACAGACGTTTAAAAGGGAAACTCATATTTTTTCCTGAGTGGAAAACTCAGTCTGCGGCTAGAAAGTTGTTATTGTAACTTTTCAACTGGGGGTCTGGAGAATGCATGAGTGGTTCTCATTTAGGGTTATTCTCATAGGAGCAAAAGCGCCAGTGCATAGCGGGAAACCTAATGTAATTTCTCTGTCCAGGTGTTGCTTGCCACATATAGGTACAGTATACTATTGCAGAACGTACGGAGAAAGAGAATCAATTGTGTAACAAATTAAAAGACAGAAAGATAAGGCTCTCAAGATGCTTTTAATTATGTTTCATTGGCCAGAAGTTGTTGCTCCTAAAACACATTGCTTTGTTCTTTAGGAGCTAATGAAAAAAGGCACACGGATGAATAGATAGTTAATGCTGTTTATGAGCTGCTTATGAGCAATTTTGTAAATTTCACAGTAGAAGAACGTGTCTTTGACAAAAAATAATACAAGGCTTGTTTTACACTGGATATATATATATCTGGATGGACAGTAATTTTCACCACAACTGATTTCTGTTTATTAAACTTTTTTTAAATTACAGTTTAAAGCAATCAATTTGCAGTTTAATGGTCAGAAACACACTATCAATGTGTTGTGTTACACACAAGAATTTAGAGTAATGTTATACATTATGTTAATCTTTAATAATACAGCATATGTATATCTAGTTGTAGTATCTACTTTATCAAAGTATGGGAGGAAAAAGGAAAATAAAATACATTGTTCATGACTTTTTTATTTTTTCTTCTACTTTATGATAAAGCAAAAAATTAGACAAGCATCACATGCATATAAAAGCATCACTGTGAAGACCCAGACAACCTGCTGTTATATTGCTGTTGAAATAAAGCCCACTGGGAATGTCCCGTTGTACCTCCTTGTACAGGAGGAGGTTTTGGCTCTGGCTGCAGGAGATATCTTCCAGACACAGTTTTAACTCTCCTGCAGTTAAAACAACTTTTTGTGGAAGATCCACGGGGGAGCCTTGATTTTTGTTTGTGATTGAGTGCTGACTTTACTGACCTGCAATTAAACAGAGGGGTGTGGTGCAGGGGCTGAATGGAAAATTGGAGCAGCCACATAGATTAAAAATGATAAATCTGTATATAAATGTTATATTTTCATAAAAGATACAAATATTTCACATTTATCGATACAACTTTAATTATTGTTGTTCAATAAAATTCAGAAAATCTGAGATGGTTTTATACAGGTGCAACGATGTCTCACTTATTGAGACAAAAACAACTCAATGCCTTAAGGGCAACAACTGGAAACTATTCTGCAGTAAATTGCACCAATTGTGAATCACCTCCACAATGATGCACATCAAAACAGCCTTTTTGCAAGTCCTCCTCAATAATAATGTGACTGAAAAAATTGAGGAATTGTTTTTTGACCCATGGAAATAAATTGTATGTTGATATAGAGTTACAGTTTTAAATGACGTACACTGTATGGGATTGAGATAGCGACATGAAATGCATTTTCTGAATATTTGTAGTATACTTGGTAAGATGTTTCTCATATCAAAGTCTTTAAAGTGGCTTCCGTTAAGCTAATACATACCAACTATTAGCTATTAGCTGGAGACACATAAAAGAGGAGTGTTTAAGTTCCAATAAATCAAGCCCGTCAACAGCCATGTGTTATGACCCAGACCGATATGGGAAAAGAGGGAATTGTCCTCCATAAAATGTGGAATGCATGTTACTTGCTAAATGACTTAACAGGGAACTGCATTCATATGTGAGCTGGGCGACCATACACAATTAAAACTAATTAAGTGTTGTCCTTGAAAATAGCGTTTCCTTTAGCTGAAGTGTGAAGCACAGGGTATCATTTGCACCATGTGCGTTCTGTGGATAGTAACAGGTGTATTGGTCAGTTAAGTTTTTTATTGAAACCGTCCACTAACTTGGATATTTATGAGGATTTATGTGAATTTAAATAGTCTGTACCTCTGAAGTGATACATCTCAACATGGAGAGCTAGATTAATAAACAAAACCTGTTTTTTTCCATTTATGTCCCTTCCTTTATTATCTGGATTCGGCTTTCAACTTAATAGGCTACTTAATATTAGATCAGCAATATAGTCTTTACTTCAACATAGTCTCTGAATTATGCCTAAACTGCAGGGAATATTGAACAATAAATGCTTTGTGCAACCAGTTATTCCCGGCACGTTTCCACTCAGCAGCAAGGCTCCCTATCTGCACTCTGGGGACCAATGGGAGACTAAATCTGTTTATTCACTCAACAGGTCAGTATTTCTACTCACAGCTGCAGGAGTCTCATGAATATTTCCCTGTATAGATTTTCATGTTATTTTTATTTTTATGTCTATGATCTCAGACATACACTTTGTCCAGAATTGCCATATTTCAGAAACTTTTCAGAAATGATTCTGGATTGTTCAAGACAAGCTTGCAAATATTGCAAATTTAAAGACAAAATTGCTGGGTACATAGACAATAAATTGTCAGTCAAGGAAAATGCAATATTGTTTTAATAACTCATCTAAATGTGCAATGTGTGTTGTCATATATGAGTGATGACAAACAGTTAAAAAAAACGAAGGATAAAGTCCCTGGAGCCAGTTCACGGAGGAAACCAAGTAAGGGTGAGACATATTTTGGTCCGTGGTACGAATTCCATACTTAAACTAGAATGCAAGCAGCCTGAACATGGAACCTGAGATCTGACGGGAGGCCTGCTGGGAGCCAACCAACAGTGGTCTGAGACAGTCCTTCTCTGTTAGCTCGGTGAGTCTGTCGTATTTCTTTGATGCTGCGAACTCTGCAACAAGGAAAGTCCTAAAGAGGATAAAATGGATAACTCTCTATAATTTGCTGCTATGCAAACCTATAGGTGCAAGTATTTTAAATCAACCAGGGTATCTCTTTCCATTACACACTTGGCCGTGTGGATGCACACACGTGCCTGCTCATGCAGTTGATCAGCATATCTCACAGTACCTGCAGCGTTGCTGGAATTTCACACCAACATTGCAGAATGCACACATCCACCCTCAAGCCACAAGAAGTACAAATTCATATTTGCACCTCTCTCTGCATAAGATCTGTCAAGCTGTGATGGTGGGTCCAGGTTCCTCAGGCCAGTGCTTCTCTGGAAAGGACTCAGTTTTGCTGCTGGGAGCTTATTAAGTTGGCCATTAGTAAGAGAAAGAAAATAAAGCAGGTATCCGTTGTCGTCTTTTTCCTGTGATTGAGAGCAATAGTTGATCTGCTGTAGGGCTCTATGTATGAAAGGTCTCAATGCCTTTCTTTTCCTCATAAAGTGCCAAAAAGACCCTTAAGCACTAAAACCAGGAAAAAGAGGCACAGTGTGGGGCAAAGGTGCTCCTACTAACTGGATTTTTCCAATAGCAATCCAAACCGATGGTTTAGTTGATTCTGCATCTACCAAATGTAAAGGGCTCTTATTAAATGAAATAAGAAATCAGATCCAACATGGTACACGTGTGAATTAGAAGGCTTCTCTCCATCCTGGGGGCAGTGGAAGTGTGTCAACGGGGTTTCTCCGACGTGATCGGCTGCAGATGTGATCTTTTGGTCCCCAAAGAATAACCAGGTGGACTGGTGGAGCCCACTGCCATTTACCCAACCTTACTCACCTCACTTACACAAACACCTAACCAAAAGCATCAAAGCACTAATGATTGAGTCCCAAAGGGGGGTAAAGCTTTTAAACAAGCCAGTTCGCCTAATTAGGCTGCATTAACAATGTGGCTCTGTTATTTTACAGTAGGGGTGAATGTTCCTGTCTGACAGGAAGGTTTTTTTCAGAAAACCATTCAGATTCAGTGAATAATTGAAATGCATTAATAAAGATGTATGTCCCATCAGAAGTGTCCTTGAGAAAAGTTAGAAGGCCTTTAGGGGTAAACAAACATTTATAGGCATTAACTTGCTGGAAATTTGAAATTATGAACCTTTAGCTCTCACATCACCACATTATCTTTAGGCAATTTCATTTTCTGTGCCCCTTGTTGCACAAAAGAAATTGTCTGTTTTACTCTTGTTCGACTGGTTTTATTTTTTAAACACTGTTGTTTCAAGGAGACAAAGCCTGAGTTGAAGAGCTGTTATGAAAGACAGTCAAGAGTTCACAATGTGCTCAGCCAATTCTACTGTCAGCACTTCTGCTGAGCTTCTGGAAAATGAATTGAAAAGTGCAGCCAATGCGCAATTTAGATGCAATATGGAGAAGCTGTAACTGTCCGAAGGAACACTAAACACCTACTATATGAATCAAAAATGAGAGAGCGGGAGCCCGTCAGCTGTTAATAAAAAGCTTTCTCCTCCATTACTGCTATAGAAATGTAACTTGTAATGTTCTAATAATCCAAGTGTTTGTTTGCTTTAAATTACATTATATTAACCATATATTCATACATTTACACTTGATTTTTAAAATATCGCCACAAAGTTAAGATTATGACTAAAGATATAATTACCCAGTCAAATTAGCAACTCTGACCTCTGTTGTGTCGTCCTGACAGGCAACCAGTAGATGGCATCAGTAGCTCTTATGATGTTTACTATTATGTAATGAATAGATACCACGTAAAAAACTCAGTAAATGAAATAATATTTAAATATAAAGATTAAAATATAAAAATCTATATACCCCAATTTCCCAATGACCAAAACAAACTTACTTGCGTCACTTTGTTAAACTTCATTTACAGGTTTAGTCTCACACCAAATGAGGTCAATTTACATGACATCATTTAGACCACCTGCTGGAGGTTGTCTGCTCTACACGAATGTCTGCATGGCACCTAGCAACCTCAGAGACCACAACGATATCATTGGGAAAAACAAACCCTCAACATGGCTTTAAATGTTCTCGTTGCTATGAAGACAAAACTTCAGCAATAATGCCTGTTGTTCGCACTGTTTACAGCTGTCCCAACCGATCAAATGGGGGAAACTATTATAGAGTACAAGAATAGTTGAGAATGAAAACACAAACCATGGTGGGAATATTGCCTCTGTGATATAATAACCACGTGGTGTGTTTTGTCAGTATTTTTGTCATTGTTTTTTTGTTAGTTACATTCTGGGATTTGTTTTTTACCAATGCAGGGAAAGCTAGTTAGATGTCCACCCAGAGATTTGTTTTAGCGATGCTAGCTAGCTGCCAAGGAGGCAGTCAATGCTTCTTGGCTCTGAGGTCGTGGACCCAACTGCACACAAAATTGTAGCGAGCCTCTAGACCAGTGGTCTCCAAACTAAGGCCCGCAGGAGGGATACGGCCCACCTCCACATTTGGCCCGGCCCCCCTTACAACACCAGAGACGTATTATGATTTTATTTTCAGTCTGGCCACGCAAATCCTTCAGAATGCAGCGTATTTAACCTGCAATGGTCAAACAATTATTTTTTTTTGTTCAAGTATGATAACTTGCAAGGCCAAATGCGAGCAGACAAACTCTCTCTTTTTCAGTGAAGATCCCGGAAAGGGTTATTAATATTTAGTTAAGTGTGGCTTTCCGGAAAACAATAAATGTTTACATTTAGGCACCCCTGCGATCGTCACACTTTTTATGTTACAAACTGACCCCGGCCCCTTTCAGAGAAAGGAAAAGTTATGTGGCCCTCACAGGAACAAGTTTGGGGACCCCTGCTCTAGACACCTTCATCTGGCAAGCGGTGTTGTAGGAGGTCTGAAGCACAAGGTATGCTGAATGGTCAGAATTGGTCAAATTGGTCAATTTGCTGGAAAAATGTATCTTCTTCATTTCGTTGGGATCACCTGCAATATGTTTTCTGGCAATACCTGCTGCCTGCAGGTTCACCCAACCTTTTCAAGTATTAACTTGCCAGTTAAAAGACTGTAGGCCTGTTGTTTTTTCCCCACTGTGACCATCTGAATTTTGTCACAATAATCACTGAATTGCAAACAAGTTATTCCTCAACCATTGTTAACTGACGCTACTACTTGCCGCTTGGCCTTTCTGGCCTGGTCTCTGCTGAGCACACAGAGTCATCCTGTCAAATATGCCTGGTATCCCAGAGCGGCCAGCCTCTCAAAGGTATCTGTTGTCCTTCTTTTTTCTTATTTCCATGCCACGGTTCTGCATCATACAGCAGGCCAAAGGAGTGTGAGACAAATATCAACAGACGGGAAAGGAATTTAAAAGGTAATGTTGACAGGTGCAAGACTTCCCACTCTAGTTTTATTGCAGTTGCAGATGGATTATTTCCTTATTAATGAGATATTATCTTATTGCATCCACTGTGTAGTAGTTCTCTAGTTTGGCTGTGACTGTGACATTTTAGTTTGAATGCACAGAAATTCCAATGGTAGTTTTAACAGTGTTAAACAGTGTAACAGATTTTTCTGTCACTTTAAATGAAATTAAAGAGTTTCTAACACAAATATTTAGAAGTTCAGACTGTGAATTTGTTTGGAAAGAGTGGCATAGTTATCCAACAGATACAGATACATATTCCCAACGATCTGAAATTGTGTTTTTATCAAATTTAAGTCCAATGTTTGTCCAATGCTGGTACAATGCTATATTTTCCAAATGCCAAAATTGTGTATGTTTTTTGGAAAGTCACTGTAGCAAACTATGAAGTAGTAATGGAAATGGGCTTTCATACTTTACAGTGTAAATTTGCACGTTGTGTAAGAGTGTAAAGTTTACAATTTAATGGTGCACGCCAGCAAAGGCCGTTTCATCCTCAATGAAAGCTAGAAATACTGTAGCTTCACAATATTTGTAGTTGCCGTCTCTCTTCTTCCCTCAGAACGAGCTGCTCTAGATTTATCGGTGTGGATAACCATGTGGGAGGCAGACCTGCTGGCATCTAGACAGAACAGCACACCGGCGGCAGAAGCCGGAGAAACCCAACACTGTCAAAACAAAGTGTGGCCCGCACATTTCAAATGCGCATGTCAGAGCTAATTTGAGAGTCTACCAGTGGAAATGTACACATGTAAACATTGATGCATGAAGACAAAGAGACAAGTAAAGTGATGAACAAAACCACAACCAAACACCAGCATAGATTTAAATACTTGTGTTTAAGTATCTGTCTTACGTCTTCCTATCCGATTGACGACATGATCAAGCATCAACTGTTTCTAAATGTCAGGGGTCACATTTCAGCCGTATCAACGGGTCTTTTGAGACCACAGCTGTTATAGCTCTGTGTCTGTTATTAGATTGATGTTTGGCCTCAAACACCAACATTTATGTCCATTACATGTTCTTAAACCTCATTGCTGTGAGGACAGGCCCTCCGAAGGCCACTTAAAGGCAGGGTATTTTCCCTACTTAAAGCAATACCTCACACGCTAAGAGGATGTTAAGTTACCCCCCCCCCCTAACTCTCCAGCTTCATCATCATCACCAACGGATGAGAAGAAGTCGATAGTTGCCTCAAAGCAGATTTTCGTTCCTGGAATTGGTAGAAAGTAAGAGTAATGACTTTGACGTCGAGGGTTGGAGGTAACAAAAGTACATTGCATCCACGAAGAAGAAAAAGCAAGGGAGTGAGCGTCGGAGAAATAGCTTAAATAGGTTTAAATATATTTAATAGAAAGTGTTATGTTCCTTTTGTTCCCCTTCTCCTTGTTGAAGAGAGCTGACAAGCATAACCGTGTGTGTGAACATAGCACATCTTTCCCTCTTTCTGCATGTCTGTCTGCACATTTGCATTCACACAGTATTTTATTATTCCTTTGAAAATAAAAAATACAAACGAAAGGATAACTCTAGAATCAACAGTTCAGTTCATCTTTTAACTGATTAAAATTTTAATTAGTTGTCTCCAGAACAACGCACGATTGATGTGCAGATCACAAATACATGACTGCATGTAAGTATGAAGGATTGGGAAATCACCCTCAAGTACAGTGTACACAATTTAATTTAGGCTGATCTATAAATGTGACAACAAGAGCCTGCAAATGCAGAGAGGAGTCATTTCTTTAGGAAGTGAATGCTGATGACTTCGCCAATCTTGCTCCAGACGCAGGAAGTTGCAGCAATGCCATGCTACAAGAATGAAGGGCAGAACGCCATCGGGGTCATGTGATGAGCAGTGAGTAGAGAACAACAGCGGAAATCATTCCATTTCTAAAATGAACACGACGAAATGACTAAGACTTAATACTAAATACTTAATACTATAATACTAAATGTTTAACAGTGTCATAGAACAGGTCAAGAATTATGTTTAAGGATCTTGGCCTGTTCTAATATGTATAGCTCTAATACATTCTAATATTTTGTAATGTATTATAATCAAATTACTATATATATATTTGTAGCAGTGCTGACAAAAACAAATTAATATATTACATACAGTATATGGTCTTTTAGTTTAACTTGGGGAGACAGACTTACTGACATAGTCATCATAATCACAAGTAAGTGAGTAAAAACCTTTTTTATTTCCAAATTTGTCAGTTTTATGTTGACTACAGCTTACTGTAATATCTTTGGGGAATAACTAGGCATACTTAGCTTTTTATCTTAATTACAACACACGCCATAAGCCAAATTATTTGATACAGTATAATGAGCATATTCCAGCTGTAATGGTTGAGGTTACGTACACTTATCTCTTGAGTACTGGTCTCTAGTCCCCAAAGCGATCTGAGCTTTAGATAAGAAAAAGTTACAACCAGCATGACCTCGCAAGGCAGAAACTGAATCTGAATGTTAATGAGAGCACGGGGAACATTTGATACCAGTGCAGCATTTGTCAAAATCTGTCAAAGACTTTTCGACCTGGAAAAAGGTTTTTACTGCCATACGTTCTTTAGGCTGTATATTTACGATGTAGTGTGTCAAAAATCTCCTGCTTTCCTGTGTCCCTCGCTCTAAAGCAAGAAATATTTTTCAATGACTCAGTGTGTGACTAATCCATTTGGTTTCATCACAACCCTGACCTTTGGTTCAAAGACAAGCAAACTGTTTTACTCGGGTTGTACATGTCGTAGATGCCTTTGAGTACAATCTAACACAAGACCATGAAAAGAATGCACTCTTTTATCCAAAGCGACTTACATTACATTTTTAACCCATGGCTTTTACATTTTGCCCTGGGAGCACTTAGGGGTTAGGTGTCTTGCTCAGGGACACTTTGACATGGGACATGGGGCAGCCAGGACACAAACTACCAACCTTGTGGCCCCCAGCGCACCATCTCTACGCCTGCGCCACGACAACCCCGCTTTGTTACTAGACATCAAAACGAAATGCAGATTGCAGAAGTTGCAGATTACAAAAGAATGAGAGAAGAAGTGAATGAGAGGAAACGCATTTGCTTGGTTCACATTTCGGAAGAACAGTGCTTGATTACATCTCAATGCTTTTAACCAAAATACTTTTCAATAGTAGAGAGTCTATCTTAGAAGCAATATGCAGCAATAGCCAAGAAGAGGTCTTTAAATGACCTGTAAGCTTTGGATTCGTACTTTGTTCCTGTATATAATATGTATTCTGTTCATGATTCTAAACATTTTTTTCCCCTTGAAGCCCAATAACATAGTAAACTCAGCGGAAGTTTTGTGTATGTTAAAATGCACCCTGAAAGTTGCCTTTGGCCTTTTAAGGTGACAGGAAGTAAAAAGGAGAAGGAACAGAGAAAGTCTTCATTTGAATAATGTATCACAACCTACACAGACACACACAGACACACACACACACACACACTTGTTTGAAATAACTGTCTGTTTAGGTCAGCGTCACAGTATCACATATAAAAGAGGGACCACAGGACCGCGGTGAGGTTTTGATGGGACTTCACTGGCATACCAGCACAATTAACAGGTCAGCCATACTTAATTTGACTTTGGTACATTAACGTGGGATGACCTATGTATTCAGCAAATGTTGACATGTACTGTTAACATAAATAACTAACATACAGATTTAGTGTAAATGTAATCAATCAGCATAAATACTGCTTTGTAATATTGTAATTTTAATTTTAATTAAATGACTCACTTTTTCATGAGCATCCCAGACTTAAATGCTTTTAACAACTCTGACAACTAACTTTCTTTTGTAATTTTTAGACAACATGCAGGGAAATACAACATATTCCCCGTTCCCTGGTAATCACAGCCACACCAACAACACATGTTCCCGTGACAACATTTTGAAGACAGTGGTTTTTCCCGTACTCTACTCCTGTCTCTTCCTGGTGGGACTTTCACTCAACGCCGTGGCTGTGTGGGTGTTTTTTCGCATCCCATCAAAGTCTCACTTCATAATATACCTGAAGAATATTGTGGTTGCAGATGTCATCATGACCTTCACTTTCCCTTTCAAGGTGGGATTTCACTGGTACAATTATCTTATAAGGTAGATTTTAATTTGAATGAATAACTAATGGATTTATTTAAGTTTATTTAATCATTTCTAATGAATTATAAACAGCTGAAAAAAACTTGACGGATGTGATTTAAATATTTTTGGTTACTAGGTTGTGAAAAGTCTCTGTTAAATCATTCATAAAACGGCATCATTAGACATCATGTCCATCAAGTCTATGGATTTGAATAACTCATTATTCATTTTATTAAACTAATGCATTTTTTATTTAACGGTAAAAAGTTTCTCAACTCTATCAGCTATTATTAGAAAAATTCTAAGTATTGGATTTTAAGTAGGTATTTTTTTTAACAATCTATCAATTCTGCTTTTGCAAAACAAAAATCAATAATTTAACTACTACTGCTAAAGCAAGTGTCTTGTGAGAGATCGATAAACAACAGTAGGAGAGATTCATCCTTTTTTTTCACTGAGCAATAAAGTGTTACCAGATAATTAACTGAATACAAAAAATGTGTGCTTTAAATATACTACTCGGCTTTAATTGGTTAAATTAAAGCGTCTTTTTGTTTCAGTCTTTCACGTGACACTGCTGTGTGTTTTGGCAGGTTTTATCCGGCTCCAACATGGCTTCCACTGGGCTGCGGGTATTCGTCTGTCGGGTCTCCTCGGTTCTCTTCTACCTCACCATGTACATCAGCATCATCTTCTTTGGCCTCATCAGCATAGATCGCTGCAGAAAGACCCTGAAACCCTTCAGGGGGACAAATGCGGCCCGCTTAGCCCGCCGCAAACTCCTTTCAGGAGCCATATGGACCTTTCTGCTGCTTCTTTGTCTGCCTAATGTGATCCTGACACGTAAGCCCCCGAAGTCATCGTCTTTCAAGTGCAGTGACCTGAAGACAGAGGCCGGCCTGTACTCCCACGAGGTAGTGAATCACGTCTGTCAAGTTATTTTCTGGGGCAACCTGGTGACTGTGATAATATGCTACACTCTGATCACCAAAGAGCTGTACAGATCCTACTCCCGCACCAAGGCCCACAGCAGCGGAGGGACTAAAAGTGGAGCGTCAACTCGGAAACCCCAGCAAGGCAATAGGAAGATGAGTGCAAACGTGTTCCTGGTTCTGGCCGTGTTCTTCGTGTGCTTCGTGCCGTTTCACTTTGCCCGTGTGCCGTACACCATGAGCCAGACCCAACGAGGTCTCTTTGTCTGTGAGCTCAAGCTCTTCCTTTTTCAGCTGAAGGAAAGCACACTCTTCCTCTCATCCTTAAACTCTCTCCTGGACCCTCTCATCTACTTCTTCCTCTGTAAGTCCTTCAGGACCACTCTGTTCAAGACCCTGCAGCTGCCTCCTGGTTCCTGCAGCAGGCTAACAGGGAGAGGGTCGGACACGGATACGGGCAGCACCGCCCTGAGAGACTCAGCTGTCCGTGCGTGAAACCACTGCTGCACATGATGACTGTAATGATGGTTACTAACAATACTGACCCACGGGTAAAATAATGTACTGCTGGGAGTTTAACTTTGTCCACGCTGAAGAACTGACTCAGTTCTTCTTCGGCAGTTCTTTCTGTTCTCTGTTTCTTCAATTTACTAACAACACAATGTTCCTCTCCTGTGTTCAACATCTTGAAAACACGTCTTTCTCACATCTGCAAAACATGTGTGATTTATTCTAGTTTTGCTGCATGCAATGAGCTCCATGCATTTAAGGTAGTGAGTATTTTGGGGGAATCTGAAGGGATTTCCAAACTGTTTTTGTACCTTTTGTTACAACCGCACGGGTCTGAATTACCACTTTTACGGAAATGCATAAATAACCGTTATGAAAATAAAGAGGAAGTCATGCATGTTTGTTGTGTTTGTGATTTGTCCCATATTGTGTGGTTGGTACTTTTTACAAAGCCAAATATCAAAAGACAGAAAACCTGTGTGTATCCTGCAAACCCATTGCTATTTGAATCCTGTGGCCAGAGCAGCTCCTTCATGGAGTTGCGTCTCTCTGGTTTACACAATTAGGAGGCTTACACAATTTGTTGAAATATCCTGTGAAGGTGTTAATCTCGCTGGCTTCCCCGTGTGGACTGACAGACATAAACATCGGTGGTGAGTTCATTGATATTATGTTTTCTTTTACAAATTAATAGTTTTGTCATATATTTGAATAAATAAAGAAATAAAAAAAGCATCACATTAAATGCTGCTCTCCTGTGATACATTTTCACAATTGAGAAGCTTAAATTCATCCTTTCCTAATATTCACGTAATAGGAAAGGATGTACGTATTCACCTTTTCTTATTTTGCCACTGTTACAATACATAGTTTTTTCTTTCAATCGAGTTTCTACTTTTATTTTTGGCTTTGTGAAAAATATCCAACAGTGTCATAACTTCCTTTCGTTCCCTGTCAGAAGTGGAAGTGTCAGGTTTTGCATCCAGAATGCATTTAAATCCTCAGGTTGGCCATTCAAAACACGCAATCATAGTAGCGATGTAACTTTTAAACTATAATGACAAATGCAAATCAGGTCCAACTGGGCAAAAAGGATGTTTTTAGAGCAGTAATAGTCTCAAACGAGTTGCATGGCACACTTCCAGGAAAACTCAGCCGTCTGGTCTTCAACATCATCATTTACTCCAAAACTCCTCTTTGCTAAAGCTGGATATAATTTTCTTGCATCACTAAATTCATGCCAATAATGCATTCTTGATAAAAGGTACACGTTTCACTTTCAAATGTATTGAAAGAGAAAGCAAAGGCCTGGATGTGGGGCTGGTCTGGGCTTACAGAACTGCCTTCTATTCCCATCCTGGGATCTGTGTGTAAAGTTCAGAATTAGAAGTACAAAACATGTTAAATCTCTCTTTCATATCTGGATGTCTCTGATTTCGCTTGTTCCAGCCATGCGGACGAAGATGTTGCCATCGCGTGCCTTTACATCTTCTTGTTCCCCATTGCGTCACTGCTAAATAGGGTAACCGCACGGGTGTCTTCGCAGGTCCCCCTCAACCTACATAGTGTCAAAAACCCGGTGGCAGCTGACCTGCTTGTCAGCATAGTGATTGGGTTTTGCTACAACTGCATCACCATGAAAGTCCTGCGGTCCTTCAGAACTCTGGGGGCAACAACAGCGACGGACAGAAGAAGAACGAGCTGCGAGTCCTCCTGATCCTTCTTGTGTTTTTTGTAAAAATAATGTAGAAATTGATGTCTGCGATCAATTGTGGGCCAAGATGATCCTTAAACGTGCCCCGGGGATCTCTGCGGCTAATACCTGTCTGGACCCTTTTCCTTACATCTACCTGTGCAGCAAGTACAGAGACAAACTGGTTGATATGATGAAAGCCAAACGAGTCTGTTGTGTATTATAATGGCAGCAAGAGAACGTTTGTAGCACAACAGAAAGGTTGGATCTTTAGGTTCTGTGTTGTACTGCCCTTTAGTGGCCTAATGAGGATTTGCATCTTTAAAACAAGATAGAACCATTTATGATGTACAAAGATACATCAACTAACAAACGGATTATTACCGTGTGTCTTTTATGCACATAGGTATATTGATACGTACTATTGAAGTACATTCTTTCACAACTTTTCACAACACAACATATCTTGAGTGTGAAGTCGACTTTTGGTAAGCATTCTTGGTAATCAGATTCAGCCAAAGCTCAATTATGTCACTCCTGAGGGTTTTTAACTGTACATTTAGACGAGGTGATGAGATGAGAAATTGTCCCTTGTCTATTATTGCTTGTATTGACTGTAAACCAATATGAACAAATAAAAATTGTGTGACTGGAAAGTTCAGTCTGCTCACTTGCCAGAAACTATTTCAATTTAATTATTTTCATGCATTCTGGTTTTCATTGTCTTATCATTTTGTTGTCCAGAATCTAGACTATGCTCCAAGAAAAATGCATTACTATAACAACAGACGTTTTCAATTAGTTTGACTAATAGTTTTTTGGGCCATAACAGCTGAGGCCACCGATGATGCTACTGCACCTTTTTCTACAGAATCGCCACTGTAATTGATGCAGAAAGCAGCAAACCATTAAGGAAGTGACCTGTTAGTGTCCAAGCAATCAAAAAACAAAAGGTCAAACAATATTAAGAAATTAGGGCACAAAAACTGAGACAATCCCTTGCCCGCTTATTTTATTTAATCAAAGGCAAATCATCTGCAGTCATATATAACAAACAAACAAACAAGACAAGGTTGCCAGGTGGGGAGGCAAATGATGTGTACTTAATGTTCCAAACGATGCTCCGGTTCAAAGGCATGGCAATACCAGGGGCATTACCTGAGCTAATGAGCCAGAGGATTGGGACTAATGATACACATGTAGAGTGATATAGAGATTGTAAAAATAAATAAGAAACAAACATACATGCTTGCAGTTCCATGGTAAAGATGACACAAAGATGGTGATGTCGGAGGTTTATGGGTGGGCCAAAAGAAGCTCGGGGGTCCCTGAATCCAATCTGCTCTGTCCTGTTTACACTGCAGGGGTGTGCGACGTCTGCTTTGCTTTTGAATACAGATGGAAGGTTTTACTATTTTTGCATATGTCCTGATACATTGTCGGTTCCATCACAACTAAAGCGATGATTGGTTTTCTAGGAAAATTCAACGGTATTTCTTAAACACCTCCCATCTCCGTATATATTGTCACACAAGTCCACGTTGCAGCTTTGGGTTTTAGAAGATTCAAGCCGTCAACTGTAAGTAATCCTAAACATGTATTGACATTACTAGTTCATAATGTGGCATTTGTCAATGATAGATTAATATGTAATGCCAGATAGCCCTCATAAGTATTGTCTTTCAGAAAGAAAACCCAACTAATACAATACATCATCATATAATTAAAATCGTGCATGCTTGGATAGTGTTGAAGATAAATGCATGTCTAGTCACACTAATTGATGAATGTACTTTTTTGGTTGGGAAATAAAGGACACAGATGGATATATACATGTATTATGTAAAGCAATGCAGAAAAAATAAATGTATTTATTGGTCTTTTATTTACAGTAAAAAGCAACTCATTCTTCTATAAGCACATATAATGGATGACGAATGTGTGGATCCTCTGATCGACAGTAACCAACAGGGTAAGTGAAGAAAGTGAAAAAAATAATAATAATCCCATTGACTTGCTGTTGAATTATTTCATTTTCTTAGCTGTGGAATGATCCCACACACACATTCAGCGTGACAGTTTGTTTGTTACAACATGATACTAAAATGTGAAAGCATAATGGGGATGTTGAATCTTTACTAAATTAACTGCCTCTCTTCAGGTGCAGTGACGCCAACGAATCAAACATCTCCCAATGCCTCGGACAGTGACAGCTTTGTTTTACCTGCGCTCTACTTTTTGATGTTCCCCATAGCTTTCTTTCTGAATGGGGTCTCCGGCTGGATTTCCCTGCACATCAAAGCCTCTTCCAACTTTGTGGTGTATCTGAAAAATCTAATAGCTGCTGACATTATAATGACCATGATCATCCCGATCATGGCTGCAAAATATTTGCCAGGCTCGTCAAACACAATATACATACTGTCATGTCATCTCAGTCCCATTTTCTACAGTATACGGTACACATGCATCGGTCTGCTGGGCTTAATCAGTCTGGACCGTTTCTTCAAGATCATGATGCCCCACAGCAAGTTGTTTGGTCAGAAACTGACCTCAAGCAAGGTGATATCAGGCTCGGTCTGGGTAATAATGCTCGGAGGCTTCGCTTTACCAAACATGATTTTAAGTAACAACTCACTGGGCAATATAACAGAGATCAATACCTGTATGCTGTTGAAAGGACCAGCTGGACTCGTAGCTCATGAGAGCATTGTGATTTGCCTGAATGCTTTCTTTTGGTTGGTCAGTCTGGTCATTGTGGTTTGCTACATCTGCGTCGCAAACAAGGTTATCCAGTCTTTTCGAAAATCCGGCAGCAACAACAACCAGGGAAAGCAGAAGATCAAGCTACGCGTTTTCCTAGTTGTCATGGTGTTTTTTGGGTCATTCGGACCATACCACATTGTGAGGATCCCATACACTTTTCAACAAGTCAACTCGTTTTCCTATTTTAGCTGCTCTTTTTTGAGCAGCAAGTTAGCAAAGGACCTTAGCCACTGGCTCGCCAGCTCAAACATCTGCTTGGACCCGCTTCTCTACGTCTTTCTGTGTCGGGAGTTCAAGGAGAAACTCAACGACATCTTCAAGAAGATTTTGTAGACTAATGTCTGATTATTGTTATGTTGGTTTTTTGTTTGTGTTCTATCTTGAAGTCTGTTCCAACATAAGGTTGTGCTCTGCTGTTTGGTGTCTTCTCAAAGTGTCGCTGTAAATAGGTTGAGAACCACGAACAGGAACGTGTTCATGGATGGATGAGATGAACAGCATAAGACAAGAGATTGCTGGTATTTTGTTGTTATTTGTCTACAAAACACATTTTTATAGTCTTTCTGCTAGTTCACGAGTTCTTGGAGGGAGACAGTAAATGAGTCTATGCACCTCCTATGCAGGACAAGTTATGTTATGCCTCACACTGAATTCATATAATGTTTGTTGTTATAGTAAGAATTGGTTGTGTTTTTAATAATATTCTGCTCATGTCCAATGGGTCCATCCATTTGCAGAATTCTAATCTTCACACTTATGCTGATACATATTAAAACAAGTAAAGTCTGTTTTAATTTAATAAAATTCTTGTATTCAATATAAAAATAAACACTAAACAGAAGTATTGTCTCTCATTTTAAGATTGAAAGCATCAGTTGAGCAAACTTCTGAGGAAGCTCTCTGTAGAAGCCACAGGTTTCTATAATATTCTCAAATGAGGTCAGTTCATTTGGGAATTGCAACAAATGCAATGACACTTCATGTGTTTTTCACACAATGGCCATCATTTCTGGCACCGTTTCAAGAACCATCTTACAGGGAATCATATCACGTAGTTCAAAAGGGGAACAAAATGGGAATAAAGAAAGCAAAATGTAATCAATTTTTGGGTGGAATGGAGGGCTCACTTGTCACAGTGATCATCTCTGTCGTACAGAAGTATGAACATGCGATCTTAGCAGGGAAAATAAAACCCATACACAAGTACAAAAATACTTGCATTTATGGTAAATGGTACCATGGTAAATGTGTTCATTGGAACCACATATCGTGCGACGTGAAGAGATGACATATCTTTATTTATTCTTCTTGTGGGGTTTGTGGTAAGTTCAGCTGACAAACAACAGATCGGGGTTGGTTGAGTAAGTGGGCGACAGGATGGGTGGTGGGGTGCAGAGGCGTCCCTTGATGTTTGCTGAGAAATTAGACCGCGGCTTTGGTGTTCGCTGGCAAGGGGCAGAACAAGCCTCTCAGCAGACAATTGGAACAGGAAGCCAGGAAGGAAAGGGTCTTTCAGCAAGGAAGGAAGACTGGCAAACTCGTTGGGACTGTGACAAGATCAGCCACACAGCTGCTCGGGAGAGACCAGCCATTGTAAGAGCATCACACATACACACTTAGAGGCAGGGAGAAAGAAATACAGACAAGAAGGGCCGACAGACGGAAACATCTTTGAGCAAGAAGTACTTCTTAAAGACTGAGGACAACCGTAAGAGATATGCAATAGTGGGGGGGTGAATGCATTTACTTCCTGTGGATAAAATGAGGAAAGGAGAATATTTCACTTCTTTCTTTTGTCTTTGCTTAATTCAATTTTTCTTCAAAGGCCAAACAGTCACAGACAATAAGGACACAATAAGAAGGTAAGACTGAATAATTTAGTTTACAAATATATATTTTCTATAGATTGCCACTCTAAGCTGGGCAAAACTACATCATTAACATTAGCCCGTGCATTCAAACAGCCTATTGTATATCTTAGTTGCCATGGCACCGGCTCCAGGCCTCAGTGTTATTCTAAGCCGTTAAAGTTTTCAATGTAAAGACATCACACTAGGCAGATATACTGTCAGACGGGAGGAGAATTCAGAATGAACAAATGCAAGAGTTAGTGGATCGGTGCCTTCTTGTGAGAGGTGCTTCAGGAAGCGTGGGGTGAAATTTCTACAGATTACCTCAACAAATTATGTTGCTAGAATGCAAAAGGTCTGCAATGCTGTAATTGTTGCCGATGGAGCATTCTTTGACGAAAGCAAAGTTTAAAGAACAACACAGATATTTCAAATAAAAATCATTATTTCTAATATATATACAGCATGTCTATATATATACCGGTACTATATTTTCTATTTATTTTGTAACTCATTTGATGAATAAAAGTGAGTTTTCAAGGAAAACATGAAATGATCTGGGTGACCCCAAGTGTTTGAACAGTAATGTGCGCGTGCATAGATTTACACAATATGTTTGTGTGCGTGTTTCAGTAGCGTGTGTGAAAGCATTTCAATACTGAACGTAAGAGTGTTTCATTAGTACGTGTAGGATTATCTCCAACCCAGTCTCACAGAAAAACGTGTAATAGCTACGTTGTGGACAAACATGGTATTCTGACGCTTTTTGGGGAGAAAGCCTAAAAATAGAACGTTTGATTTGCCACTAGGTCACGTGACTATCAACTTTCCCTCAGCTCAAAAAAAAGAAAATGTCGGACAGTCGGTCTATTATCTGTGAAAAACACAATATTTTAAGTAAGCATCAGCATTTGTATGCATTTTGATGGCATTTCTCGCTAGAAGTATGCGTTATATTATGCGTTATATATATATTCTATCAGAGAATGTAGAAGACCTTCCGTTTATTAGTTTCTAGTGACGTAGTTGCAAGGCAATGTCAATGAATAGGCCAAATAAAATGTGGTATTGTCACGTTTTTGAGGAGAAACCGTGAGAATACTACGTTCCACAACGTAGCCATTACACGTTTTGCTGTGAGATTAGGTTGGTATTTCAGTAGTGAAAGTGAGAGTGTCTCAATAATTAAGTCCCAAACGGCCCCTCATAGAATAAGCATTCATATTGTTATGAATTATCTGTTAGAGAAGCCAATTCTACCCACTTATTGTAATATGTGGGGAGAAATGTAGCTTTTCATCCGGTCTTGAGTCTATATGACATCACTGTGTGTTTTCTAATGAATCAAACTAAATTCAATTGTAACCCCTCTTTTTAACCCCCCACCCCCTTCCTTTCGCCCCAAAAAGGTCCATGGAAGATCAGAAGATGAACCACAACCGGTCAAACACTTCTTCCCCGTGCGTTCAGGACATCAGCGTGACCGCTCTGGTTTTCCCCTGTTTATACAGCCTCCTCTTCATAGTCGCCCTGATACTGAATTCCCTCGCTGCCTGGATCTTCTTCAGCATCCCCAGCTCCTCAACATTTGTGGTTTTTCTAAAGAATGTGGTAAGACATTACGGGGGCGGGAGGGGGCGGCTGCTTTTTACATGTAGTTGTCAGCGCAGAGCAAAAGAAAAAATGTCCTTCATTAACAGGTGGTGGCTGACCTTCTGATGACCCTGACCCTACCTGTGAGGGTCTTAAGTGATGCAGGCGTGGGCCCCCGGCGATTACGTGCCTTCTACTGCCGATACAGTGCGGTTTTATTCTACATCACCATGTACATCAGCATCATCCTGCTGGGCCTCATTAGCCTGGACCGCTACCTGAAGATAGTAAGGCCCTTTGGGAAGTGTTTCCTCCAGCGGGTTCGTGTTGGCCAGGTGTTGAGTGCAGCTGTCTGGACAGTCATGTTAGTTTTGGCATTGCCGAGCGTTATTCTGAGTGACCAGACGCCACCGATCTCTGGAGAGAGACTGAATTGCATCTCCCTGAAGAGCGAAGCCGGCGTGCGTTGGCATGAAGGTTTCAACCACTTCTGTCAGGTAGCTATTAGATAAATGACTTGTTTGACATTGCGACATATCGGCTTCGTAAAATGCGAATGTGTCACATACTTTGTTGCCACCTTTGACCTTCGAGCTGAAAAAACATGAGTGTCACTCAATGTTTTGTGCTTACAGGTGGTTTTCTGGGGCATTCTAGCCTTGATGGCAGTTTGCTACACGTTCATCAGCAAGAAGGTTTATGAGTCATACAAAGCCTCAAAGAGCAGATGTCGAGCAGTCAGTCGCAGAACCAAAGCAAAGGTATTTGTGGTTGTGGGGGTGTTTTTCGTCTGCTTTGCCCCGTATTACTTTATTCGCGTTCCCTACACTCACACCCAGACTCACAGCACAGGGATTAACTGCCGGGCGCGGAACGCTCTCTACATCGCCAAAGAAACCACCCAGTGGCTAATGTCAACTAACGTGTGTCTCGACCCCCTTATCTACGTCTTCCTATGTAAGGTGTTCAGGTGTTACGTTCGTACAGCACCCCGTGAGGGGAGGGGAACATACACCGCGCTGCCAAGAACCCCAGACGGCCAGAGACCGGGTGTGGGCGCAAGTAATCACACCAACATCGATGGGTTTCGTTTAAACAGGCTAGCACGTGCCAGTTTATTAATAATAATAATAATAATAATAATAATAATAATAATAATAAACAATAGAGGGAAATGGGAGGACGGCTGAGCTGATCCAAAACAAAGAAATTAGCAAAACCCCCACCCCTTACCTGTCCCAACGTCCTACACAAAACACTTATTTACTCTGGCGCTCGAGCAAGGCGCCCTAACCAAAAATACAGGGGGTGGATCGCTCAGATCTAACCTGGTGTGTATAACAGGAGATATCCCTACGGGTGATGTATGCCCAGGGCGTCTTTCCTAACACTCCCAAGTGCTTTCCGTTCTCCCTGGGAAGGACACACGAAATACAAATGATTAATACTTTCAATACTCCAAAACACTCCACCATGTACAACAAATTCCACAAGAGCACCCCAAACACAACCTTACACCCTGCCTGAGAGAGATGGACTGAACAACCAGAAACACATAAATACAGCTGATGGGACGATGCGATTGGAGGATGGGAAAACAGGAACCAGCTGTAGGAGATCACGGGAGGGCGGATGAGTAATGAAGACAATTAGCTCCACCTGAGGAGGGTTATCACACACACAGAACACAGACAAGACCGGGGGTCGTAACACGCCCACCACAAAAACAGCAAACCTCCAGTTTGCGACAAAACAACCAAACGTAACCCAGTACTTAAACACGCGATAGCTGGGGGCTTCGGGGCAGGGACTGAGAGTCTCGGAGCGGGGACTGGCCGAGTCGGGGCTGGGACTGAGAGCCTCGGAACGGGAGATCGCTGCGGCGGCGGCCCAGCGCGAAGGGGAGATCGCGGCGGCCCAGCGCGAAGGGGAGATCGCTGCGGCCCAGCGGGAAGGGGAGGTCGCTGCGGCCCAGCGCGAAGGGGAGATCGCTGCGGCCCAGCGCGAAGGGGAGATCGCTGCGGCCCAGCGCGAAGGGGAGATCGCTGCGGCCCAGCGCGAAGGGGAGATCGCTGCGGCCCAGCGCGAAGGGGAGATCGCTGCGGCCCAGCGCGAAGGGGAGATCGCTGCGGCCCAGCGCGAAGGGGAGATCGCTGCGGCCCAGCGCGAAGGGGAGATCGCTGCGGCCCAGCGCGAAGGGGAGATCGCTGCGGCCCAGCGCGAAGGGGAGATCGCTGCGGCCCAGCGCGAAGGGGAGATCGCTGCGGCCCAGCGCGAAGGGGAGATCGCTGCGGCCCAGCGGGAAGGGGAGATCGCTGCGGCCCAGCGGGAAGGGGAGATCGCTGCGGCCCAGCGGAAGGGGAGATCGCTGCGGCCCAGCGCGAAGGGGAGATCGCTGCGGCCCAGCGGGAAGGGGAGATCGCTGCGGCCCAGCGGGAAGGGGAGATCGCTGCGGCCCAGCGGGAAGGGGAGAGATCTCTGCGGCGACTGAGGGGACATCAACAAAACTGGAGATGGCTGAAGTAGCCATCATGTACACTATAACCGAACACACAACAAACTAAAGGTCATCCCATTCACAACCCCCACACCGTCCACCGACCGTGTGGACGAGGTACCAAATGGCTCCTCATCCACACCAGTCAATGGTTAGTCAGGGTCCAAGCAGCGGGGTGCACAGTATCCCGGACGAGCCCCCATTTGTTACGTTCGTACAGCACCCCGTGAGGGGAGGGGAACATACACCGCGCTGCCAAGAACCCCAGACGGCCAGAGACCGGGTGTGGGCGCAAGTAATCACACCAACATCGATGGGTTTCGTTTAAACAGGCTAGCACGTGCCAGTTTATTAATAATAATAATAATAATAATAATAATAATAATAATAATAATAATAATAATAATAATAATAATAATAATAATAATAATAAACAATAGAGGGAAATGGGAGGACGGCTGAGCTGATCCAAAACAAAGAAATTAGCAAAACCCCCACCCCTTACCTGTCCCAACGTCCTACACAAAACACTTATTTACTCTGGCGCTCGAGCAAGGCGCCCTAACCAAAAATACAGGGGGTGGATCGCTCAGATCTAACCTGGTGTGTATAACAGGAGATATCCCTACGGGTGATGTATGCCCAGGGCGTCTTTCCTAACACTCCCAAGTGCTTTCCGTTCTCCCTGGGAAGGACACACGAAATACAAATGATTAATACTTTCAATACTCCAAAACACTCCACCATGTACAACAAATTCCACAAGAGCACCCCAAACACAACCTTACACCCTGCCTGAGAGAGATGGACTGAACAACCAGAAACACATAAATACAGCTGATGGGACGATGCGATTGGAGGATGGGAAAACAGGAACCAGCTGTAGGAGATCACGGGAGGGCGGATGAGTAATGAAGACAATTAGCTCCACCTGAGGAGGGTTATCACACACACAGAACACAGACAAGACCGGGGGTCGTAACATCAGGAAAAGACTGACAGCCACAATCTGCCGATACAACCTCCCTGTAGGTACAATGGAGTCCACCTCGGCGTCAATCACTCAAAAGGAGATGTCACAGATCCGTCCAAGTAACAGGAAGTCATGTGATGGGTTGCCAGAGTAACACAGAGGACAATGTCCAATGGGAAGTCAATAATTTTTTCAGCCATCAAGGCACAACGAAACAGTGCCTGGAAGGCTTATTTTGCTTGTAAATAGCAAGTATCGCAATGACAGCAGTTGTAAAAATTCTGAAATGATGCAAGGATGTTTAATGGATAATGTGACAGAAAAGAGTCAAACATGTTTGGAGGTGGTCATGAAGTTTAATTTGATACAGGGGCCGACTAACTATGCACTTCTGACCCATGCTAAGTCAGCCAACATCCTTAATTGTACAGACTGATATTTTCTACTTCCTTCACTTTGCTAATCTCGTTCAAACTGCACTTTCCCTTTCCAGAACTCTGGCAAGAAGGAAAACATGTTCACAGTACATGTTGTTCAATGATTACAGCACACACAAAATGTGACCAGGGGATGAGTGATAACAAAATGAGGCCAGCAGACACTGCTGAAAGCTATATTGTCTGACCAATGGCATTAATACAATTCATATTGTTTAATTTCATCATTTTTAACTTTCATGCTGGAGGATTTTTGAGAGAACCTGAGAATTCTTATTTATCGACTGACTAACAGGAAATGCATGCAAACACTCATTTCTGTGCTGCAGATGTGGTTGATTAGATCACCTCTCACATTGCTGCGCAAAGCTACAGCAGTTTGCAAGTAGAGCATAATACGACCAAAGCTGATAGTTTGGCAGGAAATTAACAAGCAACAGAGTGTTCGGAGAGGCGACTGCAGCCGGAGTAAAGACCATTTGTCTCCCTCAGATTAAATCCTCTGACAGATGACCCCGAAATAGTGAATTATGCAAATGTCTAAATGACATTCATGGAAATTAAGTAAACCCTGCTGATAATGTTGCCTTCCAGTAGCTTAATGTTTGAAAGAGAAAAGAGCAAGACAAAGACAAATAGGAGGCAAGTAGGTGGGTCATTAAAGTTTAGACTTGTGGAGTTTTCTAACCTTCCAGTGATGGAAAATAATACAATTTATGAGGATGGACTTACTTTACTAAAACACTTTGATGTGTGGAATGTATATTTTGGATAATTGCAGACATGTTTATGTCAAATTCAAAAACAGAGATAGAATTCAAGAACATGCCATACATTCACATTCAGGCGAACAGGAAAGACAAACAGCCATGTCCTTAAAATAGTTAACAATTGATTTCAATCGAATTATACAAAAGACAAGTGATGACAGAATGATATGCTCCTTTGCACTTAAAAAATAGTATTTGCTTGGTTAAAGTTTTTTCCTTGCAAGATGGCGGGTAATTTTAAATAATCTGAATATCTATAAATTACCATTTTTTTCTCAAAACAGCTTCAATGAAAAATGAAATGTTTGATTAATTATTCTGTAATCTGAATAGCCTCTTCTTCCATTCCTCTTCTTTTAATATGTAAATATATTGCATCTTAAACCCTCAAACCACCTCATTCAGGGTAAATGTAATTTGCCAGCCCAAACACCCATTTGACCTCCACTTTGTTTACCTTTTTACTGCATGCTTTGACTGGTATTTTGTATTACATTATAGTATAGTATAGGGCAAAGTTACCCTCTTGGTACTTGGCGGTGGGGGAAAAATGTGACTTTTTTTCTGAAAAATATTTTATTTTGAAAAATTACCGGATTCTCTTACAAATACATGAAACTATTTGTCTAACATGAAACTGGTCCGTGAGGCAAGAAAGGTTGGGCACCACTTTAACTGACGTCACCGGGCTTTAAATGGTTAGCATGTCAATGGGACAGCACAGCACATCACGTCACCATGACACCCCAAAAAATATGCTGTAGAATTAAGGATATTCGTTTCATACTTTTTACTCTCCAATTTGGATGTCTTATGAGCTATTTCGTCATAAAAAGAGGTAATTTTAAATAATGTTTTTACTGTTTTCTTTTGTCAAAATCGCTTTGATGACAACGTTTTATATTTTATGAATAAATCAGTAAATATCGTGTGATTTCATGTGTATTTTTTCATCTTTAATGTAAAACGTATACATAACCACACATGGGCCGCTCTCCTTGTTTACCTTTTTTTTTTACGTCTCGTGCTTTCACTGGTCGTCCCCGTTCACAACGTCACATCGCAATGACTTGTGGGTAATTCCCTCGCGCCAATGCCGTTTCGCGAAAGGGGTTCATAAAGAGCTCAACATTATCTGCGAAAACGGCCCTCGAGCGCTCGATGCCCGCGTAGACACGCCGCTCTGTCCGGGGCCCGCGAGCTACGAGGCTAACATCACGTGACCGGCCCTCCCCCCGCCGGGTCATGTGATCGACGCACATCCTGCACACAGCCGTCGTCAACTTCTCTCGCCCCAGCAAATCCCAAAACAAACGAAACATGGCGGATTATGAAGAGAGGCAGAGCCTGCTCGGGGACGACGACGGCGGCGACTCGGGCTCGTCCGCGGGCGGGCGAGCAGCCGCAGGAGCCGGCGGCGGTCCGATGCCGGCCATCTGCGACCCGAAGCACCTCCTGCACCGGGTGGTCGTCCTGGTGTTTATGTGCTTCCTGGGATTCGGTGAGCTCTAATGTTCAGTTTCAGTTCATGTTTCCGTCGTTCGGTTTAGAAAGAAAGCCGCGACCCGTCGTTGCAAGTGAGAAGTTAAATAAAGCGCGTTGTTGTTGACGCCTCTCATTCTGTTTAAATTGTTTTCAGGGAGTTACTTCTGTTATGACAACCCGGCCGCTCTTCAATCTGAAGTCCTTCAGGTAATTATTCCTCTGTGAAGTTGTACACCAGAGCGCTTCTCCATAAACGCAACTTAACCACGAACCACTGCAATGACGCAACCAGAAGGGTCCAGTGAACCTGCTGCTTTTAATGAATCCAAACACAAAATCAAAATGGTTGATGTTCCCTGAAGGACCTGAACCTGAACACGTCAAAGTTCATGCAGCTGTACGCTTGGTACTCGTGGCCCAATGTGGTGCTCTGCTTCTTTGGAGGATTCCTCCTTGACCGGGTCTTCGGCATCAGGTACGAAGACCAATGAAGCACATTTATTTTAAGTTCTGTATATTCTACAGCATCAGGGAACGCGAGCGATGTAGCATTTGTTCTTTTCATCTTTTTGTTAACTTTTTTTTTTAATAGGCTGGGGACCATCATCTTCTCCCTCTTTGTCTGTCTGGGACAGGTACATAATTTTTTTTTTTCTTCATTTAACTGTGAAAAGAAATCAACTGGATAATTCTTTATTTGTGTTTAAACTTTTCTCCTGCGCAGGTAATATTTGCTACAGGTGCTTTGGTAAATCGTTTCTGGCTGATGGAAGCTGGACGTTTCATATTCGGGTGAGCAAATCGCCTTTACGTACCAGGGGCTGGTTTTCTGCACCCTCGCGTGTGATATCGCCACCCATCCAAAATCTCTCCCCTACAAAATGTGAACCTGCAATTGATGTCCAAAAACGGCCTAAATGTTCTCTCGTTCTGGTCAGTATCGGAGGGGAGTCCTTGGCCGTGGCTCAGAACACCTACGCGGTCAACTGGTTCAAAGGAAAAGAGCTCAATCTGGTGTTTGGCCTTCAGCTGAGCATGGCTCGCCTGGTAAGGACACTTAACAATGCTGCATCGCCGCCTTCTGTTTTTTACTGTAGCTGCCGCCGTGAGTTTCATTCACCCGCCTCTCTCCCGTCTCAAGGGCAGCACCGTAAACATGAACATCATGGGTTGGGTTTACAGCAAAATCGCCGACCTCGTCGGCTCGCCCGGACACACGGCGCTCGGAGCGTCGCTCATGTTGGGTGAGTTTTCGTCTGCTTTGGCCGCGGGGTCGAGCGTCGCTGACTGTGTGGGGGAGGAAGCCGAGTGATAAACAGACTCTGGTTACTGCTACATGGGCTTCATCTCCGTCTGTGCTAGGAATACGATATACCGTCTGTGTAAACTAATGATCTCAGATAACACGGAGGTGAGAAGTGCTACGGAGAACTAAAAGTGCTGGCGGCTGCAGCAAATGAGTCACATGAGTTTGGAGAAGTAGAGTTTTTCTCTCGGGTGACCTCTCAGTAATGCTAGAAGTGCGCTTTTGCAAGCAGACATGTGCTTTCCTTTGAAAGTGTCCCCCCCCCCTTCCACCGGGAATGTGACGCTTGAGATTAAAACGATCAATAGAATCCAATCAGCAGTCGTCAGGAGGGCTCATTTGAAGTCTTTAGATAATCTAATCACCAAGTATAATTGGTGTCCGGACTTTCTTTCTTTCTCAAAATGTATTTATATCTTTGATTTGGTTGTTTCTCTCCCTCAGCTGCGGTGACCTGCCTGTTTTCCCTCGTGTGTGCTTTGGTGTTGGGATTCCTTGACAGGAGAGCGGAGAGAATCCTCCACACGGCAAAAGACAAAACGGGTAATCTATTCAAAGATTGTGTCCTTCTTATCGCTTGTTTTTCCTCTTTGGCTACATCGGTCAATACCTAAAGAATGCTTCAATCAGTGTGGACCATGACATAGTCTAAGGCCAGGTTTTGTTTTTGTTGTCGCGTATCTAAAGCCGGAGGAAGCTCCATTCAGTCGGGCTCACGTGGGAATCGTTAGAACAACCAATTTCCTCTTCTTTCTTCGTGCCGATCGGTAAAATGTTTGTTTCGTAAGTGGCCATTGGTTTCTAGGATCAGAGGAAATCTTGCAGGTGGTCAAAAGCCAAACGTATATCAATGCCAGGGAACATTATTTCAAATATTGAGTAACATTAAACTACATATAATTCTGTTCTGTGTAATCATAACAATTTTTTGCTTATTACATTAATTTAATAATTTTCTTTCCAGTTAAATCGATCCCCGGCTCCTCCAGTCTGCATGACAACGCGTCCTTTGGCAAGATACTGAAGCCCAAATTGCTTCTTATGGCCGACTGTGCTAATTTCCGGGGGGTGGGCGCAGCCCCCTGTTATAACAGAAGGGCAAACACTGAGGGTTGTAGCATGAGGCGCATTGTTATTATTTAGCCTCAGAAATGATGCCTTCTTCTCTTGTATAAATGTTTAAAGCAAACCTCGTTCTCCCGCTGATCTGCACGTGTGTTAATCTTGCGTTTTAGGTGAGGTGATCAAGTTGACGGACGTGAAAGACTTCCCCTTCCACCTGTGGCTCATCTTCATCATATGCGTGTGCTACTATGTTGCCATTTTCCCCTTTATTGGACTTGGACAGTGAGTATTGACACACACACACGCACATCATTACATCAGTACATCATACACCCAGAATATCGCCTCATCTGTCAGTGCCTCCAGCGTTTCTGCACATTTAAGTTATAATTACTGTATATTTTTAATGCAGCGTTCTGAAGCTAGAACCGGCATATTTCCAGTGTTTATTAGGTGCACCTGTACTGCACATCTCCTGCAGTAGAGCCTGTTTTAGCTGTGGATTACCACACTTCTGGTGCTCCAGTAAGTATACGGCAGCAGGGCAGCGTACTGGGGATCAACTCTGATTTGTATTCGTCCGCGCTGCTGACAGCCGTGGCTTGAGGCATTATGTTTTCGGGTTGTCTATCCGCCCGTCCGGTCCGTTCTCATGAATGCAGTATCCCGGAAACGCCTGGAGGGGATTTCTTTCAAATTTGGCAACAAGTTTAAGGAAAACGTGAATAGAATTGGTTTCTCACTGCAAGCTCCCGGTACAAGCCTTTGGCCATCATTTACCAATTAATATGACAATTGTGACAACATTCTTAAATGTCTGGTGGAGGAGGTGAGGATTTCGGGCAGACAAGGATAGAACCCTATAAAAGCACTGTTTGGTGAAGGCATACAACTATGTGAAAGAAAAATGGAATGCACCTCAAGGTGGTGTAATCCTTGGTGTTACAGAGAACCTTCATTAACTGAGTATGGCGTCTGGTGAAAAACACGCGGCCTCACGGTGCTGCGTTGTCATAGAACCACAAAGGGAGGGAGGGGAAGTCAGAAAGGGAACGAGGTCTGACAAACTGGTCTGCAGTGACCGAAACCAATTGACGTTATCACAACCTGCATTTCCTTCTCACTTAGCAACTGTTGATGTTTTTCCCACTGAGGGACGGTGCTTACAGAGCCAATACTTGTTATGCAAATTGGGCAGAAAACCAGGTGCGGAAGACCAAGAGCTACCTGCTGCAGGAGCCAGCCTGACTTCTACTGCTGTCGTTGACACACAGCAACATAAAGCCTGAGCTGCACTCAGTACTGTCACCTTGTCTTTTATTACAGGGTGTTCTTCATTGAGAAATTCAACTTCACCCCAGCTGAAGCCAGAGCTGTCAACAGGTAACCTGGAGTCCATTAAGAACAACCTACCTTAAGGCACTAACACGTAGTCTGCTATTGCTGATCGTGTTTCCCTCGTGGGTGGCATTTCTTATTCCAATGGAGCACGTGTCCGATTACCTTTTCAGTGTAGCATCTTGAGTCTTTGAGCTACCTGAAACTGGGAAACATGTTAGACTACTCAAATGATGTAAAGCAAATAGCGCACACACACAGACTGATTTTTTTCCCAGTTATTAACCACCTGTATGACATTTAGATTAGTCTATTCTGGCCTTTTAGGAAATGACCACCCTTCTTTCTTTTCCAGTATTGTTTACATCATCTCAGCTCCGGCGTCTCCGCTCCTGGGCTTCATGGTTGATAAGACGGGGAGGAATGTGATTTGGGTGATGATTTCCGTGATCACCACACTTGCCGCTCACCTGATGCTGGCCTTCACCTTCTGGAACCCATGGATCGCCATGGTAATGCCCCTGGCAGCCCATTCACAATATCCCAATGACCTTCTTTAGTACATTCAGAGGCTGTTGTGGGATGAAGGAATGGCAATGTTGATCATTTCACCGGAGCCGTTGGAAGTTCATAAAAAGATAGTAGTGGATTTGGGTTTACTGTTCGAATGTAGTCGACACCTGGTTCCTGGTTGTTTTTTTCTTCTAATTTGCAGTGTACTTGCAGCCGTTGTTGGTAGACATGATAGTTTGCATGAATAAAAAAAGAGTGATTTCTATTTTATGTATAAAAAAAAAAGAATAATTAAATTAAACAGATGAATAGCAGTGGGAATTAAATATGTAATTGAAAACATGATTTTGCTTTATTTAAAGAATTCTGAACCTCAAAATGTTTTATGACAATGCCGTCTTGTGTATTTTCTCTTATTTTCCAGTCCCTGCTGGGTCTCTCCTACTCCCTTCTGGCCTGTGCCCTTTGGCCCATGGTGGCCTTTGTGGTGCCCGAGCATCAGCTGGGGACGGCCTACGGCTTGTATGTAACCGTCATGGCAATAACATCGCCGATTCTCCTGCATTAAATCGGAAACATTTATCACTGATTATTATTGTTGTTATTGACGCTGCGGCTGATCTTCTGCCTTCGTCCACCAGCATGCAGTCGATCCAGAACCTGGGACTGGCCCTCATCGCCATGGCAGCAGGAGCCATCCTAGACAACAAGGGATACCTGGTTTTGGAAGTCTTTTTCTGTGGCTGCATCTGCTGTCAGTATTTTTTTGTTTTGTTTTTGAGAGGACCGCCTTTCCAGCTCCTTTTTACGCACCTTTGAGTGACAATGTCTGTGATTTTCCACATTGTCTCCCCTCCCCTTATTTTTTTCAGTTGCATTGATTGCAGTGGTGATGCTTTACTTTGTGGATTACTTCAGAGGTGAGAAGACTGAACCCTTGAACTGTGTCACTTCTCTTCCCGTACCGCTTCTTTTCTCCAATATACCTTTGTATATTTATGCCCTTTTTCTTCAGTGGCGCCTCTTCGCTTTACTCTTTCACTCCCCGGCAAACTCCTCTCCGTACCGCCCCTCCTACTCGCTTCTTAATCTCTCCCTCTCTTGCTCCAGGAGGAGATTTGAACCTGACAGCCGCAGCCAGAGCCAAGCTCCACAAAGAAGCCACTTCGGACGCAGAGTGAGTAGCAGTGACCCCCCCGCACCCTCCACCCTCTCTGCATTTCCATCCACTCACTCAACCATTAAACCAGCATCTCAGCAGCGTAATGAACAACCCACTTATATGAACAAGTGGCACAGGCATATTTTGGAAGAACACCTGGCTCTAGATGTGTCCTGCTGCAGTCTATTTAGTGAATTTGGTACATTTATCTGTACGTCCAGCTGGATAAAGGTAAATTATTTAAAGGATGGAACGACATTTGTCTGGTTCCAGTTACACTTCAATCGCATGACCCAAAAGCACAGTTGCAGAATCCAGTTTCTTAATGTAGCGTAAAACGGAAGTTCTTCTTATTCTTTGAGCTGCTTTGGAAAGGAGACTTGTTGTTCTTCCACATGATGGAGGAAACTCCTGCGATACCCGAAAGAACAAGTGGGTGCATCTATGTAGGTCGCATGTCAATAACACCACCTGTGGTTGATTTTATTCAGTGTCTGGCAAACCAAAACACATCCTCTCAGGGGATGTGACTACTTTCTGTTCTCGTTATTCTCATAAGAGCAGGGAGTATGCGAGCAGGAAGTGGTGTTACCTCTCTTTCTCTCCCCCTTTACCTGTGTCTATACCGTGCTATGCTGTGTGAAAATACAGACTGACATTTTCTTGTCTGTTGTGTCGTTGATATTTTTTCCAGATGAGGATTATGAGGGAACATAAAAAGGGCACCAAAGAGCTGTCAAGCAACTTCCACTGGGTGGGACTGCACTACTGACTCCGGTCCATCAGATCTGACTGTCTGGCCCCGGCTATCACATAACCACCCGTGTCCTAATAATGTCCGTGTGTTATGTCCTTATCGGGACGCTGACAAATGACACATATCACCGTGGACCCTAGAGTTCCTCACTGACCTTTTTTTATTTTTTATTTTTTTTATGTTTGCTTCATCTCTTCCAATATGTTTGTGAAGGAAGGAAGTGTTTTTCAACGAAAAGATCTGGCTCATGTCCTGTAAAAAGGTTCTGAAAAATAGCGCTCGGATTCATGACATGCTAATTCAACCCACTATATCAATTGAATTGTTTTAAATGTAAATAGGCTAATTTTGTTAATGGTTTTTATAGTTTGGGTTTTGCAAACGGTTTCCAGAAGAGCTCTGTTACTCGCCTTATTGCAGAGAATGCTGCAGTTAGTCTACAGATTGGTTGTCAGCAGTCATAATTGCACACAAATCCTCTTTCAGGGCTTTCCTTAGTGAGTTCTTATTCAATTTTAATAAGATTATCTTAATAAAGAGCATGTCCCTTTTTTTCTAATTCCTTTATCTGCTCTTGGATGGTTTCAGGGGCGCATAAAGGTGTATTTTCTGTTGCATCATAAATGGTACATTACCATAATGTTAAAAAAGATCAGAAATATCAAAGGACTTTGTATTGCATTTTTTAATCCTATTGGCATTTTTTTTTTTTATAAATGTGGCCTTTTTAGAGAATCAGTTCCACGTATGAAATGATGTTTTGGAGACGGTCTTTCGCTCATTTGTCAAGCTCGGGTAGTTAACTTGTTGTAAGCACTGCCGCCAAGCTGTTATCTTGCTTGCGTTATCTGAACGGTGAGACAAAATATGAAAGCACTGTATTAAACGCTCACTTTTGCGGTAATGTGGAAAAACATTAAACTCACTGTTCTCATCAGGGTCGCAGGCTGTGGCTGATACTACCTCCGTTATCAAAGTCGAGAGTAGCTTAAAACCTTTTTTTTTTTTTTGTGTGTGTGAATGCACACCACACTGTCATACAGCCGGACTCATGCTGGACTCCTCCCTGATGACTCATTTGCACTCCGGCGATGTGACGGCAGGACAGTCTTTCCTCAACTGACAATGTTTATGTTAAACTACCAGGTGTTCACTATTATTGAGCGGTCTACAATTAATGACATGATTGTACAACAGATCTTCTGTAAAATCAAACACAGAAATATTTTTCTTTTGCAAAAACCAATTGACTTTTGAGATTATGAATGGTACAATGACGTTTGATTAAACATTCATTTCTGAAAGCCTGTGGAATCTTTTTTACCCCCTCCAACACCTATAATAATAATAATGAGGCATTTCCTCAGCCCCTTACAACAGGCTGACTGTCATCCTCGGGTTATTTATAATATTGTATGGCTGTAGAGATAATAAAAATGGAGACCTTGTTATTCCTGCAAGATTGAAAGGTAACACAGTAAGCTGAGTGAAGGTGACCTTGATCGACTAACACACATGTCTGCTTTTGGCTTAGGCAACCGCTACCTGTCAAGGCTGGACGCACAGGTATGCGCGGATAGAGCCGCCGCTTCTTATTGACCACGATTCAAACAGGAATCCATTCTTTCAGCCTCTGATCTTCACACCGGCAGTACATTAGTTGTTCTATATTTGTTCAATTTTCTATTCAGGGGTTTGTTAAAGCTACACTTGATAATTAAAAACAAGTATAAACACTCACTTCAACCGTAGTCTTATTCCCCATCTGTCTTGTCCTCTCAGCTCCCAGACAACTGCTCGACCCATCTGTCCTCGCTTTCCCACGGGCGTGTCTGACTGAAGTGATGCCCTTTATTCAGCTGTCCACTGTTCTATATTGTCTTACCACCATGGCTGTTAGATTTGGACCCATGTTGTATTATTGCACCAAGTGTTTTTCTAGAAACCACACCACATATATACTTAGGTTTTTAAAAAACTAAGAAAATATATTTTGTTTTGCTGGATATGATGCAGGATTGCATAATATTCAATTGCAGTGTCACCTGGAGGAAAATGTTCTAGGTATGGCAACCAAATTAATTTCAGCAAACATCCCGGTTTGATTTAATGCAAAATAATTACAATGTACTAAAAACACATTACTACTTTGCTGTTAAATATTAAATATTTATTCCATAATGGAAAAAAACTGTAAATAACTAAAATCATACTTTTGTCCCACTGGCAGGCTATTCAGTATAAAATATATATATCCTAAAAAATAATCAGTATGATATATGTATTGTATATATGTCAGTCGACTTGTCTGCTTATAGCGATGAAATCCGTGCTCTTTACCTCCTTTAGAATGTCATCCAATGTCATCCCCATCTCCCCCTTAACCCTGAACCCTCGAGGACTTAAGTGACGTCACCTGGTAAGTGGTTGAGTGAGAGTCTGTCAGGCCTTTAAATGGTGTAAATATGAATGGGACAGCACTTTGATGTAAGATGTCGCGTCTCTGTGACAACATCAAAAAATATGATTTACAATTTAGGGTACTACATTTTACTCTGATTTGAAAGTCTTTCAAGAAATGAGAGATATTTTTAAATTATTATTTCATTATTTATTATTTAATATTATGATTGAAAACATACATACAGTGCTCTTTGTTTACCTTTTTTTTTATATCTCTGCACTGTTCACTGGTTATTCTGTTTATAACGTCACATTGCAATGACTTGTGGGTAATTCCATTGGGCGGAAAAGGATTAAAAAAAGGGCTCAAAATGTCTACCAGCGAGCCCTCAGACACTTAGCGATTTGACAATGGGGACGTTCCTAAACCCTCCAGGAGTCAGCAGGAGCGCGCCTCAAAATCTGTGAGTGCGTATAGGTGGGGATTGACCTCGACGAGAACGAAGAAACAGTTTAGGTCAAAACCCGTGTTGCCCCAGGCGTAGTCTATCTAAGGACGCTGAATGGCTAAATTATATCTGACACATGTTTTTATTGAAATGGGGAGTGCTTCTTAGACCCGCCTTTTACGGGCAAATTTTACTTTGCCCCTAGCTCAGCCAGAGCGTCCATAAAGACATGACAGGCAGGGAAGTGCAGATATCTTATTTTACAATTTGTACTGGGTAAATTCCGTATTTCAAAAACACAAATATTAACATTAATTTAATATTATCTTTTCTTTTGGGAGGACTTTAAGGAGCGGTGCTTCAGATAGGGCGACGCCGCATTGCCCTCAATTGTCCAGCCGCCACTGTTTAGTTGGATGTTAGCAGACTCAGCCGTCCTCAATCGACAGAGGGCAGCAATTCCCTTAAATGTGTCCCATCTCGCCACAGTGTCATTAAAGAAGCAGTATTAGTTCCTTTAGGCAAAACCTCCGGTTTAATAGGTTGCAACAAGTAGAAAAAGTAGAAGTTAGTGACATAGCTGTTGAATGTTCCCATTTATATATTCTTAGAAACAAAATGATAGAAAATCACTATCAAACACTGTATACAGCACATTGTTATTGCCACCTTCTGACTCATGATAATCTCCTTGGTGGAAGCACTCCAGACCTGTTTGTGTCCCCCGCATCCACCAGACACACCACGGGCTGCACCCTTGCCGTCCTCCACACCCACGTCCGAAGCCTATCACGCTGCCGGCCACTGCCCAGAAAGTAGAAGAGAGGATTGGCGCAGCAGTTAAAACTGACCAGCGGCTTCCACACCTTGAAGGCTATCATGGACACGTTGAGAAGGTGACAGTTTGCGGGCAGGTAGACCCTGACAAACAAGTAGACGGTCTGAGCGATGTGATAAGGCACGAAACACGCCACAAACATGAGGCACACGACCAGGACCTTGCAAATTGACTTGTTGCGCATGCGGGCCGTCCTTGCGTTCGAGACGCGGTCCGCGGCCCTGCAGTAGAGCACCGTCACCATGGAGCAGTAACAGCTGATGACGACGAGGAATGGGATCAGAAAACCAACTATGCCTAAAAACAGCCCGTAGGGGAAGTACACTCTAAATTGCCCCGGGTCAGTCATTTCAAAGCACACAGTGCGGTTGTCGATCTCACCCGTGTGCGCAAATGCCAGAGTTGGCAAAAGCTCCGCCGTGGCCAGCACCCAAACCGAGCCCGACGCCAACCGGGCGAGCGTTTTGCACCTGAGACGCACGGCGGCTATGGGGAAGCACACTCCGAGGAAGCGATGCACGCTGACGCACGTGAGGAACCCCATGCTGCAGTGAAGGTTGACGAAGAACAAAAACCTCACGCCTTTGCAGAGCGCGTTGCCGAAGAGCCACAGCTCGCCCATGGCGTCGCTGATGATGAGTGGGGGCAACGACAGCACGTAGAGGAGATCCGCCACGGCGAGGTTGGTCGTGTAGATGACCGCGCTGCTCCGGCGGCGCGTCGGCGCGCACACGCGCCACAGCAGCGCGCCGTTTAACGTCAGGCCCAGCAGAAACATCAGGCTGTAGGACACCGGCATGAGGATGCGCTCGTAGTAGTTAGTCACTGGACAGATGTCGTCCTCCATTCAAAAGTTTGATATAGTCGCAAGGCCTCGTCACTTCCACAACCACGAGAATCGATGGATGCCACGCACAGTTTTTACAACCCCGAGCTCGCCTATAACCGCAGAGTGTGTAAAGAGGACGTGTGCTCATTTCTCAAATACCAAAAGCAGGTGTTTGTTCAATTCCTGCGTCCCTCCTGTTCCCAGCCGCAGCGCGTGTGTGATGTAACCCATTATTGCGCCCTATCATGAGCAAATAGATACGGCCCGCCGCGAGGCATTTCAATGAGCCTGCAATAAAAGGCTGTAGAGATACTGGCGTGCGCGATTGCCTTCCCCCCCAGAGAGAGTGGCGTGCACGAATATTTAAGGTTGTGTGATCGGACCCGATAGCCAAGTTAGAATGACACCTCCAAACACACCTACACGCGCGTGCGCACGCATGCACGCACGTCGGCGCCGTATGAAAACGCGTGCACACACACACACACACACACACACACACACACACACACACACACACACACACACACACACACACACACACACGCTCCGCGTCCCATTGGCTGCGAGGATTTTTCCAAGTGGGGTCTCTCTCCGGCTGCTCCTGACTAAAAGTGTTCACTTCATCTCCGTCTCACCGCGGAGCGAGAGAGAGAGAGAGAGAGAGAGAGAGGGAGAGAGGGAGCTCGTCATGCTGAGGAACGGCACATACAGGTTAGTGTCCCACGCATTGTCTTTTCTCTTGCATGTCCACAGTGTTTATTTTTAGGACAAACGCGAAAGCTCCAGTGCACGCTGCTGCGAGATGCACGGGCGGGGGGGGCGATCGAATTCTACACAACGTCACTTCTCTGCAGCCGCTCGCAGATGAGAACAGGTTGTTCACATGCTGAAAGGATGGGGGGGGGGCTGTCTCGTTTTCGTTGGGAGTTTCTGTTGTCTTAACTTGAGCGGTGTCCTTCCAGAAGCATGTACCAGGCAGAGGAGGCGAGGCTGCGCAGCGGGAGTCCGCCTGTGGCTCGGGAGAGGAAACACCTCGCTCTGTGCATTAATAACCAGGTAACTCTCCCTCTTTCTTACTTTATCTAGATCATGCTGTTTGCTCATGGACGGCGGTGTATCTGCTCTTTTGGTGAGGGAGATGAGTGAGTGAGAACCATGATATGCATCGCAAGACGGCATCACTTAGAAAACTATTCCACATGAATCAATAACGGATACGGATCAGCACCACCGACAGTGGAACCCGAATCCCCCCCACCGGCATGTGTTATTCATTACTGCTTTGAATTTTGCTCCCCTTATTCAACCACTCACATGGCACAATTGACCAAATTCAATTTGGTTTGGGGGAATTGCTTTTTCACGTTGGCTCATGGCCTCTGAAATATTTTTTTCATGGCAGCAGCTGAAAAGGTGGCATTAATAATAACCTCCCGCATTCCACAATAAGCAGGGGAACGTTCAGGGGTCAAATGCCCGAGGTGGCATCCGTTCCTCCTCAAGACGAGACCGCAGCTCATGTAAAGGAATCACGCATGTTTTAGAACTTTAAGCAGTCGAGCAGAGCGGTCGCTACAAATTAACTGCAGTTTGTAAATCAGTTTTGCGCATAGAATTGAACAGAATCCCTGTATATTTTCCTTTATGCATTTGGGTGAATAGGTGCACAAGTTCACCTGCTTGTATTGAGCCTGAATACTTGATGCCAGTGATGTAGTGTTGCGCATTATCGGCGGCCGGGGATATTGAGCGCATGAGCTCTGAAAGCACTGTTCCATCACAGCTTTCGACTTACTCCGCAATATATTCTGATGGTGCCACCTCTCAGCACACTGTCTCTCTCTCTCTCTATCTCTAACTCTCTGTCTCTCGTCCATCTACGTCACCACTGGAACTTTCTCATTTTGACTCCAGATTTGTTCCAGTCCATTCCCTCTGCATCACTGTTGGATCTCGTTATTGCTCTTTTCCAAATTGATTCAGCATTAAGTCCATGTGACACCATGTCGGTTGATATGAGAAGAAGCTTGATGATGAACTAACCGGTAATTGGCGTGTGAAACATGAATGAGGAGAGAAACAAGGGTTGTGGCATGTGGAGGCTGCTCCACATGCTGTGTTTCTGTGAGTGAATCAGATTCATTGCGGAGGCGTGAATCCTCGAGAAAAACATTAATCCATCACAGCTATTACTCCATGATCAATGGGAGAGCCGAATTTATGGCCACAAGGCCTTGTTGTTAACCATTTTACGCAGAGCTTATTTAAACAGCTTGCCATAGAAGGTCACATTTAATGGGATTAGGCATGAAATACACAGTCCAGGTGAGGTTGTTGACTCCGCACTTGCAGCTGGAATCTTTGAAATCGTTAATCAGCGTCACGCATGAAGCCCGTTGTTCTTCCTAATTCAGTCAACATGCGGTAAACAATTTATCATGAACTTATCATTGTGTTGGTATCCAACAGGAGTGGAAATCCAGCGCATACACACACACACATGTATCCAGCCCGTGTATCATCGGACCGGGCAGCACTGTAGTTCCCCCACACCAACCGTGGGAGTCAGATGCAGCGTTCTGGAGAGAGATGTAGTGGGAGTACGGTGCAAGGGAAGGGTGTCATATTTCATAAGTGCATTATTGTCTCTGCCACAGTGGGACACGGCTCTGCTGAGTGCTGTTTGGGCCGGCTCACTCAAACGCTCCGCGATTGAGTCGTAATATCCCGTGCCGGAGCAAGACGAGCCTGCACACTGTCAGATGTATATTGTCTCCTCGGTCACATCCTCTGTGTGTGCGCTTTGTTTCGATGCTTTAGAAAAAAAGATTAAATGTCCTTTTTTTTTTTAAATGCACCATAACTCTTCCTATCATATACAAAGATGCCTGCATGGATGCACACATGCATGCCTACACACACTACTACGTCCCATTACCACATCTTGGAAGGCTGGTTCGGTCTAAATGAGGGAGCGTAGTCAATCACAGAAAGACGTCCCCTTCACGAAGGTGTGAGTGTGTGTTTACGCTCTCACTTCCTCGCCATATGTCAGCAAGCAGAGCTGTTCTTTGGTTAATCCTAACAGGGGGAATTGTCCCCAGCGCTCCATTTTGCATTTTGATAGACTGTATAGTCATTTTCTCCCTCTGGCGCCTGCTTCATCTCTACTCGTCACACCCCACCGATCTTCTGCACTTCTCGGGATGTCTTTCTCTTTTCCTTCATTGCCCCAATTTAGAAAAAAACATATGGCCTCCTCTTTCTTGTTATTGATGACCCCTCGCTCAGCTCATTTTACATCCCAGGTATCTTCCAAACTCTTCCAAACTCTAAATGCCTGGCATTGTTCCCTGCAATCAACACTTGGCTCAACACATGTCAGATTCAAGACTCATAGAATAATCTATGTGCATTATTGATTAACCAGTATTCCAAAACCTGCAGAAATCATCATTCTTAAAGCAGGAATACCAAAGTTTTTTGTATCGAATCCATGTGAAGATTTGATGTTTTTCTCCTTTGCAGTTCCATGCTGTTGGTTCGACTAAACAAGCTCTTTAAAGATATTCACTTTAAACTCTGAGAACTGTGCATTGTGCAACTTCTGGTTCTTTAAATATTGTTGAATTATCTATAAAGTCTAAAGTCTATAAAATGCAGTCATTTGGATTCTTTGTCTATTTCTTTTTGTCTATTTCTCTGTCTCCATCTCTACTCAAAATATGATTGAAAGAATTGAACGAAATCACATAAATGCCTCAATTTCTTCCTTTTCTTTACCCCGTTGCCATAACACTAAGAGAAAATAGCATTTCACATCATGTTCATCTCATAAGTAACACCTCCATCTCTCAGCGGGTTCCTTTTGGAGTAAATGTAGACTTCCATATTACATCCTTGCACATACGGCGCATATAAATTCATTTCCGTTGTTACGATTACCGAGCATCTCCACTGGAACGGATCCTTCTCCTGGATGGACTTTCACCGGGACGGTCGGCCGGTGGAGATGCGGCCAAACGTCTGATGCAGATGTTTCAGCGCATCAGCACAATGCAATCCAACCCTCTGAGACCTGATTGATGTTTGTGTGTGTGTGTGTGTTCATGTGTGTTCTCTCAGTGCACTCTGGTGTGTGTGTGTGTGTGTGTTGCGTTTATGTGTGTGGGATGTTCGTGGGAGTTTATCTCACTGAGCAACCACAGATCTGAAGGGCACAAAGAGCAAACCATCTTGTGTGCGTGTGTCTGTGTGTGTGTGTGTGTGTGTGTGTGTGTGTGTGTGTGTGTGTGTGTGTGTGTGCGGGCGGTGTAAGTGTGGACATCTAACTATGCCTGCCATCGATCCCCATGATAGAACTAGGACTCTGATAAATTATGATTTTAATAACTCATCAATTAGGGAGCAGCATACTTTCTGCTATGTGTTTTTTCCTCCCCTTTCTGTTTCTCATTTTTCAGTGACATTATGCGCATTACTGTCCACCCTCATCTTTCAGTCTATTGATCGCCCTTATTTTGATATTGGAAATAATGTGATTAAGCTGTTAATACGGCCAGCCGTGTCATTGTTTTTATGCAATTAGCTATTGCAGATTGTCATGCGTCCCATATCTGCAATGCATGCTTTTCTACTGACTCCAGCTGCAGTTGTATTCCTCCCTCTGTGTCTGTATTGCTCACATACAGCTTTAGTATATTTTATCCGGTCCAGAGACCCAAGAAATTGCCGTTGATTACTGTTTGCTCTGTCAGCCTTGGAGTTTACCAGGATAGAAACCGCTTAAAGGGTTAAAGCAGTATTCCTCTTTGAAATGAGGGTTTTGGCTTTTAAATCGGTGGTCGATTTTTAAATGTATGATCACAACGTCTGAGCAACAATTAATGATTTCGAGACTTACATCACAAGGCAGTAAAAATGGCCTATCCCCTGCACCCTGCTGCTAACATACAGATATATTGATTACTAGAGATGCAGGAGGGCTGCCTGGTTGCTTAGGCAGTGCATCCATCCATCTCGTGCCATTGAGTTGTATGGCAGTCGCCCCAGAGCCGCATGACATCGACCTCCATCCCCCCCCCCCCCTCTCCCCTCACCCTCACCCCACCTCCCCCCATTCCTCGCTGGCATGCAGCCGATCACACCTGCAAAACACACGCAGGCGTCAGCAATAGAATAAACAAACACACACACAATTGTCTTTGCTGATTATTAGTGCGTATGTGTACAGACAAGCTGCCAGTCTCAAGGTCACTTAACAGAAAGGAATCATGAATAGAAGTGGATTCCTCTGCTTAGGTATTATTAGTTATGTCAGTTTCCCGAACAAAATGCTTCTGATTTATTATTATATGTTATGGAAGCACAGTTGCATCCGTATCGTGAAAGTAAATATAAAAACTGTTGAAATATTGTTGCTTTTCTTTACAGGAAGAAGTGAAGAGGTACCACCGTTACTGTAATCACAGTTACGGGACAGCAGTTCC